GTGTGTCAGGAGGCCCATGGTCTTTGAACATCTGTAAACATTGTGTGTGTGTGTTGAATGTGACCTTTTCTTTAACTCTCTCTGTCTTGGTCTCATTACCAGGCATCATCTCATACACAGAGTACCTGTTCCTGCTCTGCATCCTGACAAGTGAGTCGCTTCGGTCTCTGTACATATCCTCCTTTCACTGAACCTCATCTTCCATTTTCCCCCAGCAGTATGCTATTCTTATTTTGAGAGAACAAAGTCACACCACCCAGAACCTAACAGGACACAACCATGACACAAATCTGGTGGTTTTCCCCGTCCCCTTGGGGTAAGACACAAATTAAAAAGAGACACAGAGAAAAAAGAACTATTCAGAAGCTCTATTTGTAACCTTTCAAAAGTTAAATATAGGCAAAAAACTGCTCCACTCATTGCGCACTTATCAAGTTAATGTATTTTTCTTATTCCTCTTTGAGAACAGCAATTTACTGCATTACATATATCTGTACTTCTTCCTCTCAATATTAGGAATCAAAGTGTGTTTCTCTTCTGTAAATGATATAAATGACCTGGAAACCAAACTGTCTATATATTTTTTAAGTGATTAAAAATTAGAATTACAGGAAAATTTTCTACGAGAGACAGTAAGAGTTTTAGCTCAGTATGTGTCCACATTAAATGAGAGGGCAGCCATTAATCATGACCACATTAATCAGGAAACTAGTGAGGGTTTGTATTAGTGCTGTCTGAACAGTTTAATTGTTGATTTAATATTCAAAGGGGAAGATAAAGGAAACTAACTTTAAGTAAACGCATGACCAGTTTCAAGTGGTATAAAAAAAAATCCAAATGTTAATGTTTGAGCTCACAGTCCATCTACTGTAGATTTATCTCCCTCCTGTCTGTCCTATATGTTTCTTCTTCCCATGCTATTTCTGGATTTAAAATTGCCTTTAACACACACACACATGCACAAACTCACTCTATGTGCTCTGCTCTCCGTTCTCTAGAGCCCCATGCTGGCTTTAAGATTGCTTTCAATATGTTTGATGCAGACGGCAACCAGATGGTGGACAAGAGGGAGTTCATGGTGGTGAGTCGCTGATAACTGAGAGAAAATCCATCCTCGGCAGAATTTATATGTTAATATTCACATCACTTTTTACTCCAATCACAACAAAGAATTGTTTTTTTTTTTAGTTTTAATTATACAGGCAATCAGTTTTAAGTGAATATGAGTGTTTATAGAATGTAGATCTATGATTCTCCTTAAAAATTGCAATTGTTTCTCGGTGAAAAACACAGTTTTTAGATGTAAGATCCTGCAGGACTCAACACACATTTACATTTACATCAGACACAGTTGTATGTATTTGATATGTGGGGTCACCATCACTGTCTCAGGTTTAGCACAGGAACACATTTAAAATTTGCAACATGAGGGGTTGTTATTATTGCCCTTAACTATATATCTAAATGCATCACCCCCCCAGTTAACAGCTGACAACTAATATGATACCAAATAAGACTTTGTGTCAGTTGAGTTTATCTCTCTGGCAAGTTTGTCCATTTTTCCTCTCTCTTTTCTGTCTTGTCATATAGTTAGTCGTTTAATAGTAATGTTAAAAAACGCTTTCTCGAGTCTAAATTTAACACTAATGATTTTCTCTGATGTTTCAATTGGAAATGACAGGAACGAAGGGGAAACAGAGATAGAATCAATTTCTTTATCTACCTTTCTACCTTAAGCTGTAGCAAACAGGTATTTCAAATTTAAAGCATTTAAAAACACAGATTTTTTTAGTTCAGATCTTCTAAAGGCGGCTTATTATATTAAACAGCTGAGTACTCCTTTAGATTGTAAACCTACATGGAGAGCTACATGTGCCTTATTTGCCCTGCGGGAGGGGACAGACAGATTTTCAATCAAAAACACTGCTGCAGGAAGGAAGTGATCAGGATCTCTGTGGAGGCTGGTGGGAGTGGGATGGTGCATCAGCGGGAGTGGGTGGTAATGGTGGAAAATCCTGTGGGAGCAGACAGGTGTGGGAACAAAAATGAATTCCCACATTGAGAGTTCAGCAGTAGGCTCTGATTTTTCTTCTAGTCTTCAATTTACATGTTGGAAAAAAAGTTAGGAACTGAATATTTTACTTGAATAAACCCCAAATGAACACATAATGGTTGTCTGTTGTGATCACACCCCCCAAAAATGTTCTTGGAGATATATCCCTTTCTAATTAATTTGCCAGTGTTTTTGTGCTGTAGGTAACAATTTTCATTGTTAATTCAAATTAATAATAGAATAATAAAAATAATAAAAAAAATGTTAAGTGCATAAAATGTAAAAGCTGCAGTTGATACTTGGCTGTGAAATACAAATCAGTGACCACTTACATGCCTGAGACCGACTGCTGTGCAGCTGCAGTTTCCTGATGTATGTGATTCAGCATTGATTTATCCTTTAATATCTTTGAACATAAGTCACTTCCAAAGCCAAACTAGAAAACCAACACTCTCTTAGTCATCCTGTCAGAAGCCCAGTGCTGAGATCACATTGTAGACCAGCCTGAACGAGTGAATGACCTTGTGAACTCAAGTGAATGTTTGCACATATGAGCGTTTAAGCTTCAAACAGGCCTTTAGATCTGACTTTGAGTCGTCAGTGAGATCCTGATTGTTTCTCTCATTACAGCTTCAGGAGATCTTCCGCAAGAAAAATGAGAAGAAAGGGAGGAAAGGTGATGCTGAAAAGTCAGCACAGTTGGTAAGAAAGTTGGTAACACGGGATGGGACTCTGTGTGTGTGCGTGCGTGCGTGCGTGCGTGCGTGCGTGCGTGCGTGCGTGCGTGCGTGCGTGCGTGCGTGCGTGTGTGTGAGGATGGAAACATTTGAATGTAAAATTCAATTCTTTCGCTAATTACCCTTAGTGCTACCCACCGTGAAATGACAGTGGATTGTAAGTCTGTATGGACATGGACGTCAGTAATGCTGCTATCATCAGTGTGGTAAACCTGAACTGTGAAAATCCAAAATGTTCTTTATTGAGGTTAATATATCAGTTAAAAGGAAACATTACTTTAAAGGCATTTAAAAAGCTTTTGGCATTTTAATACACCCATGAATATAATGTGGCACAGTACCTCTTGTGTGCCACCTCTTTAAGGTTGCTAAAGGGGAAGCTGAGTGCTGTGTCAAACTGTACACGTGGATGTATTGAAAATGACACATCATCATCATCCAAGTTATCATCTGTATTGAAGCAGATATTAGACTTAGCTAAACCCTTCACGTAACCATGTTTAATTGCATGCTGCCTCATGGAAATAGTTTTTCTCAATGTGGTATCTCCTCTGTTTTTACCGTGACAGTTATCCCTACTGTGTACTTGTTATATCGGATACACTCTCAGAAAAAAATGTGTCTTTCTCAGCACAACTGGTATTGACATTTAGGAACTGCACTGGCCACTTTGCTCTTACTACACTGCAAGTTTCCAATATGGGTTTTGTTATTGTAACTGTTATTAATAAAAGTAATTAATAAATAGTTTTTGTTCTTAGATGCTTTGCAGCCTTTCTGAAGGTAACAGCTCAAACTGTTCTTCTAGCTAAAAGACACCGACTACCTTAAACTCATAACTTGATTATTATAGTGCAGTGATACAGTTTCTACAGTAGCTGATCTGACCAAGTCATATACAGGAATATATATGTAAGCTTTACAGTTAATCTGAAATAAATAAGGTATCCTGACCAGTGATAGCCACCACAGTGGAAGAGACTGAAAAGAAGGGGGACAAAGTTACAGTGTCCGCCCCACACACAGCTTGACAACAATCTCTGGGAAGTGCATTACAGTGTTGTAATTCAGAGTGTGTGTTGTTCTGAAATGTAATCATAGATGTGTTGAAAATGACACATCCTTCTGCAGAGTGTATCCGCAGCCTCTTTCCTTGCATGTACTAACATGTCTTTTGCCTTCTCTCCTCCTCTCTCCTCCTCCCTCCTCTCTGACTGCATGCTCTGTCCTCCTCTTTTCTCTTCCTCATGTCTCTCTCTGTGTGTTAGAGTATGCAGCTGTATGGATATCAGGTTGCACCAATGAACAGCGTATGTATCCAAAACCATAACCCCTTAGTCTCCTTTCTACTTCTTCTTTAGATGTTAAAGAAATGGATGGAGGGGTGAAGAGATAGGTGTTTCCGCCCGTTGGGTTTGCTACTAGCTACATGTTTTCATGTGAAAGGAAAAGGCAGAATACTTGACAATTTTAACAATAAGACCGCCATGGGGAAATTTTATAATCCAGTCAGTTGCGCATCTGGCTGATAAAGTCAGATTTACCTTGATTCAAGTAATTGAGATTTTTTTTCCTGAATACTCTAGTAGCTTTTGTAGGTATAAATGACCATTACTCAGGGATGCTTACAGGACTGTTACACACTTTTGTGCCCTGACCTGGTCTTTGAAAAAGCCTTAGCCCTGACCCAGTCCACCGTGATCCTCTGTTGTCAGTAAAATGTACTCATAGGCTCATTGAAAGGATTGACGGATGAATGGGAAGAGAGACAGAGAGCAATAGAGAGAGATTTAAGGCAGGGTGTCCATCTGTCAGGTCAGCTGATCAGTGATTGATCGAGGGATGATGGCTGGGTGGGATGAATGGAGAGAGGGATGGCAGAAAAGGAGTAATAGATTTAAGGGGTCGGGGGAGATGTACTCTTACAAAAAGAGAGTGATGTGATTTAGAATGAGCAGAGACACTCTAAAGCTTCAAACACAATCAGACTGTTCATTTTAGACCGTTTTAGATTACTCACTGTTTGTTTGGCAGTGTGTGTGTTCCTGCTGCGGGGGGGGGTCGGCGGGAGGGCACAGGGTTGGTTAGTACAAAGAGAGAGAGGAGATTTTTATTGAAGGAGGTCTTGGCTACAGACATGGAGTTGCTTTTTATTGGCTATTTGGGAAAGGTATGAAGTCCAAAATCAAATGGGTTACTGAAAAGGAAAATAAATTGAAAGAAGAATTTATTCTCCTACATATAATACAAAGACTTTCCTAAATTCCTATTAAAGGAAAACCTATTACACATTCTGTTGATCACTTACTGATCACGTATAAGGCTAGAAACAACTAAAATCAGCACAGAAATAATGGAATGGGTGAGCTTTGGACACTTTTAATCGTCCTATTTGTTCCTCATTTTCACTTGAGATACAATCCCTCTCTCACACACACACACACACACACACACACACACACACACACACACACACACACACACACACACACACACACACACACACAGGACCCTCCCTGTCCTGTCAGTGCTGTGATGGATAGCTGCATTGTCACTGTGAAGTTAAGAGCAGTGCAGGGTCATGTTAAAATGGCTGCTGCTGCTTCTCCCTGGAGAGAAGGAGGACGAGGTGGGTGGTCAGGAGCTCAGCAACGTGGTTTGGCCAGCTTCCTTTTTTTTTAAATATATTTCTATTTGGCACATCAGGGAGCAATGCATCAAGCTAGATGAATATCATAGGCTGAATAGAAGAAAACCTTTTTTTGCGTGTAAGAATTGTGAATATGCTTCAGAGATCAGCGATTTTTATTCAAATTTTATTCAGATTTTGCTTGTGGTCGTTGCTGACTCAGCACAAAGGCAAAGTAATGAAATGGTAACTTCAGTGATTTGAATATAGTAGCCTTACAGCAGAGCTCTCATCAATAATCGTTATGCTAAACAGTGCCACTGGAGAGTATTAAATAATTTATTTTTCTCTCATTAATGTCCTTTGCTTTATTTGTCATGTAGAAAGCAAGTTTTGTGTATAATCTGACCCTTCCTCCCTCCATCTATGCCCCTGTTCAACATGTGTTTTATGTTTGCTATTTGCTACAGGGAATAGAGTAAAATCACTTTTGAATCAAATATTGCAAATGCATAGTACTGCAATTTCTACACTGCAATTTGAACACAAATTTCAAGCATTTTAGCTTTATATGTCTTTCCCCCCAGTTGTACATTACAGTTTAATGGATTGTTCACTATTTGTTCTGCCGTTCTTGGCTTATTCACTGTTGAATGCATGTTTATGTTTGTTTTTTAAAATAAGTTTGATTTTTTTCAAAAAAGAATTCAAGAAATCAACTTCCTGAATCTGTTTATGTGTAATAAGAACAGGGAATACTGGAGGCTTGAGTTTACTTCCTGAAGTGGTTTAGTTGGAGGTGAACTGACCCTGGCCCTGCTTGACCGCTCCTACAGGTGCTAAAAAAAGACAGTCACGAGTTTGTGGCGCGGAGTTACTGGGACGTTCTGAGGCGAAGTGCCAGTCAAGTCCTCTTTTCTGACCTGGCGGAGGTACATAGACCCAACTGTCCTCTGTCCCGTTATCCCTTCATTCTTCATCCTTCACTCTTCCTCTTCAGCTCCCACTAGTTAATGCAGATCCTCTAACTCTCCCCGTAGATTCAAAGTAATGTAGCTGCATCAAGCTTGGCCAGAATAACACCAGTAGTGTTACAAAATAAAATAATTACAAAATAAAAGCTTTACTTGACATGTGAGCATTGAAGGTTTTAATCTGTGACTTTTGGAGCAGTTAAGCCGAGTCATGCCTCAGTGTTCATATGTGACCAAAATTTTGTATTTCAAAAATATTCATGGCTAAAAGAGAACTGTGTTGGGACTCTATTCTCATTCTAACTCATTCTGGTTTGGCTTGATACTGATACCTGTCATCTTTCTTGCTTTCTTTCTTTCCTAAATGTTAGTTCAGATATACCTGCCAATCTTTCCCAGCACCCCTCTTTTTTTTGTCCCACCTCATTCTGCTTTGTACCAGTCCCTTTCCACATTAGTTTAGATTCCTTACTATCTCTCAGTAGAGTGTAGAAACTACAATCAATCCATTCTCTTTTTCCCATATGAAATAAATTCTGCTTAGATGAGCTCTAAAATACTCCCTTGTTTTAAACATAATAATGTCCATCACATCGATCTCTTTTCTAATGCTGAGAGAAATTTTATGGGTAAATCACTCATGACTTGATTTGATAAATTTGCATGGGATAATAATCTGAGCTTCGTCTGAAAAGTTTCTTTCCATTCAAACCCATTTCATTGTGTCAGTCACTCACTGATGAACAAATATAGCAAGACAATTTATCTTTATATTTGTTCTTATACCTTTTGATTTGGTGTGGTGTACTGGTGTGACTGTATTAATCCATTGATGTTAGTCACATGATAGATATTTTAATCTCCACATTCTAATGACCTGTTCTGTTTCTCACCTGCCTCCTGTCATTTGACCTCTTCGTTCTGCTTTTGTATGTGTATCTGTGCCTTACTATCTGTGCCGTGTTGTGGCTAGTGTTGTAGCTTTGGTGTTAGATCATTCTCAGTTTACTCCACAACATGTGATGACACTGGTATACAATCATAAGAAGGCTGATGGCAGAGCACATACAAAAACCCTGATCATTATAACACCGCACACTTACACTGAATCACATATTATGACTAATTTGCTTTTATGTGACTAAGTTGCTTACTTTGAATTACAAAATTGTATATATTTAGAGAAAAAATGTATTACTCATCACTGACTTGAGCAATCCACACCAACTGGTGACCTGAGCTAAATGAGGCCTGCAGGCTATTGATACCTTAAATCAACCCTCAAAAGCTTCTACGTCAAAGATTAGACATCTTAAATGTTGTTTATCACACATTCAAGTAATTAGGACAGAATTAAATGGAAAACAAAAATAAGAGTCTACAGCCATGCTAGTAGCTCTGTGAGGCTGTGTGTAGGCGTAGCAGTGCTTTGGCGCTAAATGCTAACGTAAGCATACTAACATACTCACAATGACAATACTAACATGCTTTTGTTTAGCAGGTCTAATGTTTACCATGTTCACCAGCTTAGATTAGTGTGCTAGCATGCTAACATTTGCTAATCAGCACTAAACACAGAGCACAGTTGAGCCTGATGGGAATGTTATTAGTTTTGTAAGAATTCAGTGATAAACCAACGTATCGGACAAATTTAAATTTCCACCTAATGCCGACACTACCTGTATGGAGTCACCAAAGTTTTTACAGTTTATCCTGTTGAAATTATAAATGTCTGACATGGCTAGCCATCCAGTAAGTGCCTAGACATATGACTAAAAAACAAAAAATGTCAGCCTTGTGGAGGTGCTAGAGGAAAAGTCAATAGGATTCATTCTCTGCCGACCATGAATATCTCTAAAATTTGATGGCAATTCATCTAATAATTGTTAAGAGGTTTCAGCTGGGAGCAAAGTGGTGGACTGACCAAGCAATCAACAAACATTTCAGTCCCTTGAGCCATCATGTCCAAAATTCTGTTAAAAACAAACAGGACTAAAATCAAAACATTTAGCAAACTCTCACATTTTGGCAATTTATGCTTCATAGAAAATTCCCAGTCATTTAACCTTTTCATTGGCTTGTTCATGTGCAACTCAAATTGCGTCTCTTATATGTCTAACACAAGGCGAAGGTGGTGGTAATGATTAATAACAGCTAACGCAGCGCTAGCAGGCTAGCTGCCTAATGACAGGCTGTGCACTGAGGTGGCAGCGGAAGCTGAGGTGGAGGTAATGACAGTGGAGTGTAATGGGGCTGACCTTGTGTTTACACTGAGCAGCCTTTCATCTGCCGGGATGTCAGACGGACAGAACGGACGAATCAGACGGGGGGGGGGGGGTAAAAGGAAGAAAAACAGGGACATTGAAAGTGTTAGGGATTAAAATACAAAATACATAAAATTAAGTATATTGACTAAAAAAAAGTGAGACAATAGAAGGATAGGGTATAAATTAAAGAGAAATAAAACCCTGGAATTGTAACAAATCTGCAAGTAAATCTGTCTTAATCACATAAGTAGAAAACCTCAGGGTAAAAAACAAAAAAACAAGGAAGAGATAAAATCAGAGACAACAAACAGGTGAGAGAGGCCCAAAGAAGATGACACAGGTCAGCAGGGAGAACAAATGTTCACGAACAAAGTGGGTGGGGAGAAAAGAGGTTTGGGAAGCACATTTAGGGGAAAAGAAAGAAGAAGGTTGTATTTAGAGAAAGATGTGTTTACTCAACAGATTAGTCACCATTATACCTCTTTGCTTTTGTCTGGAGAGGGAGGGACTGACTGACAGGCAGAGCAGGAGGGAGGGAGGGAGGGAATGAAAGAGCAAATCACCTCTATGTTTGTCAAGTGAAGAGGGTACTGACGTGTTGTATGAGGAGAAAGGAAATCAGAGTAATCAGATCAGGGGCAGGGTGAGAGGGGAAAGAAGTGATAAGAGAGGGGGAAAAAAAGAAACAGAGAGAGAGAAGGTGGGAGATAAAGATAGGAGGGAGGTGCAGGGAGAAAGAAGACCATGGGAAGGGAAAGGAAGGTGAGCTGTTTTTACCCTGGAAGGTGGGACTGACTGAAAAACTGACTGACTAGACTAAAGATCAGCAATGAGCTCTTCCTCCGAGGTATTACTCACAGATACAGAGGATGAGGAAGACTGTTCAGTGTTTACATCAGTAATGACTGTTTTTATCTTTGACTTTGTGATCAAAGTCTGTTGAAGCTCTCACACACACACACACACACACACACACACACACATACACGTAGATGGACAAATGCGTACACCAGCTGTTGGCTCGTGCCTTGTGGGCGTGGTAACCATCACGTCTTCATGGGGGTGATGAGCTCACACCTGTGCTACCACACTTCCAGGAACGATAAGCTTGTTATGATCAGTTTGGCATCACGTCTAACCACGGTAACACTGATGTGGGCTCTTGAAAGGCCAATATTAATACCAATATTTTTTACTGAACCTGCTTAAACTCTGAGAGCTTCACTATCAGTTAGCTTAGGGAGCTAAAGTAGAAAAAAGTTAAATTTGCACCGGCATTTTAAAGTGTGCAGCAGCACCACCAGAGCTTTCCTCTGGTTAGACATCCTAATGAAAATAACTAACTGATGTTTTGATAACAATGTCTAGCTCTAATAAGTCTAACATCATGTTAGAGTGCTGTACAACAACCAATGTCAAGCAGTTGTCAGATGCCAGTCTAATAAGGATATAATAGATACAGTATCTTATTACTTGCATTCATTATGAAATGATTAATCATTAAAGCTTCACTAATCAATATTTTTTATATTAACAATGGATTTCCCTCAGGTCAACAAAGTATTTTAGCATCATTCAGCTCATTGTTTTGTTTTTTTTTACAATTCTCATCTTTACTGTTTTGATCTCATCAACCATTTTTCCAGCAGCTGTAGCTGGAGAACATGAAGCATTTAGCAGCTAAAGAGCCAAATATACACCCCAGGTGTTGATGGAGACCAAAGCAGAGCTAAAACATTTTTTAATATTGTGACTGAATATTGTGAATATTGGACTTAGATTTGCCTGGAGGCCAGAAACATACAGTAACTCCAGATGTGCAGTATGTTAACACATTCACTAGAACAACTTTATAAGGTAAAAATATGTCATTGTCAGATTTACAGCTTGTTCTGCTACTGACAAAAAAGTAAAAAGTCAATTAATGCATCACCTCTACCAAGTGTTTTTTCATTCAGTATATATATATATATATATATTTTTTTTTTACATGTGGACCAATCCCATAGTAATTCCAATAGGAATTATAATTAGCAGAAAGCATTAAACTTCCTGGAACAACCGATAAGTCAAGCGATCAGATTCATTGAGAATCTCTTAATTGCATGTACACATTTTATCAAAGATAAACAAAAATGATTTTCTTGTTTGAAGATAAACAGTTTTAGACAGACTGGGAAAACCAGAGGGAAATCCAAATAGGAGGCAAGAGAGGCAAAGACACACCACCTGGCTGCTGTCTACAACAGCTCATGTGTCATAAAGGCATAAGTTATGAGTCATTTAAAGGACAAAGAAATAAAAACCGTTTTGTCCTGTTTGGCCATAATCAGAGACTTAATTAAAAGACCCTCAAATAAGTGAGACAAAGAAAAACAAGACACTGAAATGATAAGTGTGTAATTGTTTCAGTTTGTCTGTGTTTGTATGAAGGAAATCTTCCTTCCATCCCTAATCAAAGACTGAAAGACCAGACCGCAAAGTGAATCAGAAACAGACAGAACGTTGGGAGTCATACTGATGTTGATCGTCAGACAACAGGGTTTACTTTTAATATAATATAAATATTTTTATCTTGTGAGTTACCAAACCGCATCCATTACAGCAAGGTCTACTAGAGGGAATTTTATTCGGCATTTGGTTAGTGCCATAATCTCCTACATCTCACTGTAGAGAATATTACTAATGCTCATGCAAGTACCCAAAACTGAGATCCATAATCTGATTTGGCTAACTGCCTTGAATGCTTACACAGGGACTTTTGCCAGTGGAGTTTTTAGTTGACTGATCATCTGTCCCAGTGGTTCCCAACTGGGGAAAGTATGTTCAACAAGTTCTATCTAAAAAATATTCAAATTCAATAATCTGTGAAGATAAATATCACCACTGATTGATCAGGTTTTGACATCTTAATGTAGCCATTATCTTTTGATATCTTTTCCTCCATTATAATAAAGAAAGTCCCACAAGATTGTAACTTACAGTATCTTTGTAACGTAACTTGAACCTTACACAATGCTTACATCTCATTCAGATCAACATACAAAGTTTTCTCTCAATTATTATCCCTGCAGCTCTTTCATATTCATTTGCTCATTTCTGATAGAAATGACAGTGTGTTACACCAAACAAGTATAACAAAAACTGCAACGTCTTGACTTGAACACACTTTTTCTTTTTTTTTCCTTTTGTAAAACTTGTTATCTTGTTTGACATTTTCTTCTTGTCCCACATCGGATTTTAGGATTTTACTCTTGAGGTAGAACCACGAATGGCATCGTGGCAATGATGAAAATTATGATGATGCTGATGGAAATGGCATAAACGCTCTTCCCCCTTAGAAAGACATGAGATTTCTCCCAATCTGATGTCTGCATATTCCTCAGCATGGCCAAGGATTTGACGGGGTGGGAGGGTGTGGGGTGGGTGGGGCATGGCAGGGAGAGAGAAAAATGATGACCTTTAAACGTCCTCTCTTTCTGCCCTGGTGCTGGCTGACACCTTTTTTCTGAGATAGACATGTTAGCGAGCATGAACACAGGCAAATAGTGAAATACACACTTAAACTCAAAGGCTCATAAAAAGTACCCATGTCACCCTGTGTCAACAGATTATAGCGTGAGCAACTAGTATAAACAGGACAAAGCCTGTTGAATGGGTTTCAAATGACCAGGATAATTGAGTGAACACGTAATCGGAAAGACTGCAGGGAAGATAAAAGGATATGTAAGCACATAGTAAAGAATAAAGAAACAAACAGCACAAAAGTCTTAGAGTTGCACCCATGATTGTCATCGATTGACGGAAAAAGGTGGAATCGGCTCACATTATCTGCATTTGTGCTTAAGTGGGGTTTTTTTTTTTTTTTTTATTACTGCTGTTTGTGATTTGAGGCTCTGTTCAGGTGTGTCAATGTGGCATTGCCAGAGAAATGCATGGGATGTGGTGGCTTTAATGTGTCTGTGTATGTTTGCCAGCTTAGCGTTATGTATTTGTCTGTTTGGGCCTTAGTTGTTCTTCCAAACATCTTCTTTTCTTCGTTTCTCTTTCTTCCTGTTAAACACTTTGTCCTTCTTTCTACATTCCTGCTGATCTCCATCCCTGGCTCAGTGACTATAGGCATGACTCTGTTTTCCACTGTGTCTCCGTATCTTTATGTGCTGCTACCTGAGCACTTCTCGTGTATTCACCAGTCTAATGGTTTGTGTTTCATGCTGCTGCAGCAACACTCCTCGCCAGTCTAGGCCGCATGGAGAAAATTTCGCTCGATACCTTTCACTTGATTTCATTCAGAAGCCTTTGTCCACTTAACCTCGTTACCCCATTTCTGTTTTGCACATACTTCATTTCACTGAAATTGATACTTATCCAATTCAAGAGGTTGAACTTAAAGGTTGCTGCTGCCTAGACTGGTATGTTGATGTCGCAATGGCCGCTGACTGTTTGTCTGAGCTGATTCATTTGATTGATAGTTTGTTGTTGCTCATCCGGTGCACGTTCTGCACACGTGCCGCAGAAACCTGCTTCCTGCTAGCCTGGCACCACAGTCGCCATGTTGGATTGATGATGGACTTATCCCGCCCACTGCTTCTCCTCCAATCACAATGCTTTAAGAGTATTGATTAATCACTCATTGATCCTCTCTGTGATTCCTCCCTCTCTGATGATTCATAGCGAGCAGATGAGAGTGTTACGATCGACACCACCCTTCTGGTCCATTTCTTTGGGAAGAAAGGGAAGGCAGAGCTTACCTTTGATGACTTCTACAGGTACTGAAAATACTCACATAACACAAAATGAGTGCTGTGAACAGTCATAACCAAATCACAAAACAGAAACATGCTGAATCTTTGATTACAATCTAATTCTTCTCCATTCCCTTCTCATCTGTTCTTCAGGTTTATGGATAACCTGCAGACAGAAGTGTTGGAAATTGAGTTTCTGACCTACTCTAAAGGAATGACTACAATCAGTGAAGAAGACTTTGCCAAAATCCTGCTGCGCTTCACCAATGTGGAGAACATCAGCGCCTACCTGGAGAATGTCCGCCAGTGTATACCTGATGAGAAGGTACAGTACATGCACGCAGTTCTTTACAGAAGGAAGAGCACACTGATGTGATAAATGAAAATCAATTAACAGTAAGATTCATTGTTTTTTTTTCTTTAGATAACACAGGATACATTTCCTAGCCCTTTATCTATCTGTTCAATTACTTCTTCCTCCTCCTCTATGGGTTACCTCCACCTTCCAGCCATCTAGAGTGTCCGTAATTTCCCACCACAGTCTCTGCCTGAGGCTGTTGTGGCTCTCCACACTTCAGCGCTCCACTGCTTCACTTGACTACACACAAACACTCACACACACTTGACAGCACTTCCAGCCACATGTGAATTTGAATATCTATCTATCTATCTATCTATCTATCTATCTATCTATCTATCTATCTATCTATCTATCTATCTATCTTTCTATCTACACATTGACCTGTAGTCCTTATGCAACCCAACTCTATTTCTGTCCCTCCCTTCTTTCCTTTTCATGCTGTGGAAGAAGCAGGAGGTTGGTCTCTGCCTCGTACAACACAAAACCTGCCGTTACAATCTGTCAGTCTTTCTTTCTGTTTCTTAGGTCACCACCTCTTTTTGTTTCTCCACATAAAGGATGGCTAGGTTAAGATACACGGCTGGCTAGTTACTTTTTATTTATATGTGTATTTTACCTTAATCTGCATCCGTTCATGTATACCTTATTTGTTTTATTAATGGATTTTTTTTTTTTTTATTAATCTAGCCGTCAATATAATTGGTTTAGAATAATCTTGATTCATAGCAAAGAGCATGTGGCACTTTTGCACAGTCATTTTGTTGAAAGCACAATATCTTTATATGAAATCATTCACAGCTACACTGTCACATCTACAATATACAATCACATGTTGTCTGAACAGCCAGCTACATGTTGAATGGCTTCAGCTTATTGCTGTATGCAGCTACTTCCGGGTCATGACACACTGCAAGAAGACTGCTGTTTGGTAAATTTTCCATATCATGCACTCACACAGTCCTGTCATTAATGACTTCTTGTGTCATTAATAGGTCTATTTCATGGAATTTCTTGGTTCTGAGTGTGTTTGTTTTTTTAATTTAATTTTGTTTTTTTATTTTGGTTAGTTTGGTTAGTAATTTCTGATCTTAGAGCTGATGTGCCTCAAGGAATGTAATAATGCACGTGTGTCAAGGTGACTTTGGATGGCAGTCTGCTCTGAAACAGTCATTATCATATTCAAGAGAACAACATTTTTGTCAGCACGTCTCTCTTTAGTCAGTTTCTGGGCTGGTTAGAGTTTTATTGCTTCACATGTGTTTTTTTTCTGTTGTTTCAGGGAATCACCTTTGATGAGTTCAGATCCTTCTTCCAGTTTCTCAACAATCTTGAGGACTTTGCGATTGCCATGCAGATGTATAATTTTGCATCTCGCTCCATTGGACAAGGTAGGAAGAGAGCGGAGGGAGCAAGTACTACAGACACTGAGGGTCTCTACTTACACTGACATACACAGATGTAGTGTTTTTTCCTTTCAGCTTGGTGTGCAGTAAGTGGCCAGACCTGCAAAATGACTTTACTTTCTCTCCTACCAGATGAGTTTGCAAGAGCAGTGTATGTAGCCACTGGGCTGAAGCTGACACGTCACCTTGTACACACCATCTTCAAGATTTTTGATGTAGATCACGACGATCAGCTGTCCTATAAGGAGTTCATCGGCATCATGAAGGACCGGCTGCACAGGGGAGCCAGGGTGAGGAACTGTGTGTGACAGATACAGAGATTAATGCTAGGGGATGCAGGGATGTAAAATGTCTTCAATGGCACAATATTGAAAAGGTATGGAGCATTTCATCGGGTCAAATCTATGTATGTGCCATGTAGAGGGACAGATTTTAGGAAGAACCTGGTAACAACTTCAGTGACTTACATGAAGTGATGTCATGGTGTTGTTCCAAAGGAGGGACACTGCCCTCTAGTGGTGTATTTTCATGCACCACTACAAATTAGAGGCTTATTTTCTACAGAGGTGAAACATGACATGACATGTCAGGTAGTTACAAGCTTATAATTTGCCTGAAATGCTGGAAAAATCAGTAATATTGCAAAATAGTAAAGCTACAAGCTGTTGTATGGTCTTCTCTGGATGTTGTCTTGGCGTCACAGTCTTGGCTTCGTAACAATGTTTTCTTTTTCCATCTCTCTCTGTCTCTCCCTTTCTCCTTGTTATACTTGCATCCTCAATCTCCTCTCTTTTTGCCACACTCATCTGTGCTGCCAACACCCATACCTTTCTCTCCACTCCCACCCCCCACCCCCCTTCCTTTCTCTCTCCTGCACCTTCCCTGTGTTTTCCTCTGTCGTGACGTTTATCTACTGACCTCTCAGGGCTATAAAGCTGTGGCGCGTGCTACCTCTTTTAGGTCCTGTCTGAAGAGGGAGCTGGCAAGCAGATAAGTATCACTGCCAACCAAGAATGACAACAGAAAAAAGATTAGATTAAGTTCATGGAGTTAATTCTTTTCTATTTTATTCTTGTACTTAATCTCTACAGTTTGATTATGTGAAAGTAATAACAGCAGTAGCCACATTAATACGCCTCACCTTTCCTCCCTCATTTCTCTTTTTTAACTATTTGACTTTGATTAAATGATCTTTAAATTCCCATCATTAAATGTAACATATGATTTTTTACCTTATATTAGGAAAGTACGACAACGCCACTAATCTCAAACCTAATAAAACTGCAGTGTCTTCTGGAAATATTAAAATACAAGGGGCAATATGACTTCAAACTTCTCTGGCATCTCTCACTTAGCTGTCCTAATTTAATCATACTAGTCTAGACTCGAGTGCAGTGCATCAACAGCATGGGTAAATGTGAATTAGGTCATGTGGTAACCACATTATTACAGCGGAAGTACTTTTCCACTTACCTGAGTGTCTCTTTCAGAATATACACTCCCTTAAGAGAAACATGCCACAAACATCAACATCATCATTTACAGTAACTTGTACTTGCTTGCTTGTACTTTTTTCAACATAGTGTACCAGTAGGTGTACAGAGTTTCAACAGTGGATTCCTGGATGTCTTCATTTTGGAGAAACCCAGAATGTGAGAAAGCTCAAAATTACATTAGCACTATTTTTGAGCTCTTAAAAACTTTTTTTCCCTCACTTCAACACTTTCATCCAGAAACAGGATAACATAAAGAAAAAGCACCCCTGAAATGATATTAACTAGTGACTGAAATGTTGCTTGTTATCACTGTAGCTATAATGTAAATCACAGTTAAAAGGAACTGACTTCTTGCTCCCAACATAACTTTGCATCCCTTTGCTCTGTGTTCACCAGGTGAAGGGCCAACGCTACACCTCCTTCTCCAGCTGTGTTCGCTCTGGGGCCAGAAGACAAGTGCATCAGCTCTGGAGGAGGTACAGGGAGAAGTCGTAGACAAGGACAACGACAGAAGGCAGAAAAAAAAATTTGGAAGATGATTTAAAAAAAAACAAGCCAGATGATGGAATGAATCAGATTGAGCTTTAACTTTGAAGTCAGTGGCCCGAGTTAGAAACAGTTTGTTTTCAAGGGCAGATCTCCAAAGCAGAAAATAACTCTAAAAGCATGACTGCACACAGCTGACTGATGCTCTCTATTCTGATGATAAGTGACATGACTGTTTTAGGGTTGCTGTTTTTCCAGTCATCTTGATCTGATACTAGTCATTCAAGTATGATTTACAGTGTACTATAAAACAAAACAGAATTAAACTTTATTCTCCAATTATGGCACCTTCACAACAGTTAGTGGAACTGCACCTAATAATTATTTTTTACCTTGGATAAATGTAAATCTTCTTTTCTTTGTTTTTTGCATTAAGCTGTAAAACATGTTTTAATCATCTCACTTATTCTGACCAGCCTAAAATGCAAAGTCATTTTACAACAATATTATATACATATAACAAAGCAAGTTGTACCATTTTACAACAAATTCTACAAACTGAAAGGTATTTTTACTTAATAATTGATGTGATCAGTTACTTATCAAAGCTATAATAATATATGCTTTTTTAAGGAACAATAATTTACTGAACTGCTGCACTACAAACTATAACAACTGAAAGAGCACAACAACAATTAAATAATAAAATCAATATCATTGTGATCCTGTTATCCATATAGAATTAATTACACCAATATAAAATGATATAGTAACATACTGCAGAACATTATATTGCAGAATTAAATGACCATATTTTGAAAATGTTTTGTCTTCAGCTGATTTTAATCACCTCAATCTTTCTTATTTTTTGATTTTGTTTAATCTCAAATAGCAAGTATAGTTTTGTGTTATATTGCACCAAGAGTATATGAACACTATTGCTATAGTTAGGAATGATATATTGTTCTAATATTACAACTTGGGATGTTTTTGACCTGGAAGTGACAACCTACAACATGAAAGCCAAGGAAAAAGATTTTTTTAAATGTAATTTCAATATTTTACCCGACAGAATCCTTATTGTCTTGACTTATTGTTTTGTGTCTTAGAATGTTAGTTGCATGTATGACATAGATTTCCATATAGGTGCCTTCTGTCCATCCCCTTTGTCACCTGAAAAATGTCACATAGAATTACAGATTTCCAGCAATTATTTCATCACTGTGTAGCTTTTAACAGCAAGAGAACCACAAAACGTGCAATAATTATACAATTAATAATCATTACTATGTGTGATTCAAATCAGTCTTTAATGTTGTAATATATTAATTAATTGTAGAATGATTTCTGGATGTGTTGGTGTGAAATATGAAATATAATTTGAATATGCTGAAATGAAGAAAGGGGTCTAGATGTGTTAGGGATGTTGGGCCTGTGCCAAGTTATTCAACATAATGTTAATTGTTCTCATTATGTTTGCAATAAATCGTGTATTTGTCACGTCAGTGGACCTGCTGAATGATTTTTCATGCATGAATAAACTATTTTAGAAAGACGTGCGAAATCCGTTTATTTACTGCGCATGCGCAGCGAAACCATTTACACAACCACTTGTTAATTGACGAAGTCGACTCCTGACGAAGCGTGACTCCTGAATTATTACACGAAAACTAAATATTCCTGCAAGAAAAAACAAAGGTGCTGCAGTCCCACGCCTGCTATATGGGTAAGTTGTGTATGCAAATGCTGACACGAATGTCATGTGATATAAAGTTAGTTGACACGAAGAAGACGGAGATGCATTTGGAGGACAAAATGCTAACTAGCTTTAATGTGTTAGCAGTGTTTTTCTTGTAGCATTCTTGTCGTTCAATTTATTGTCATAAGTGTTTGCGTTGTAGTTAGTTTAGTTTATATGTGTTTGTGTGCAGTGTACCAAACAACATAGGTGGAAAAGTTAGCACAATCTCACCTGGCCTCATTAGTTACCCACGCCTCGTTAGTTACCCTGTTAAACTGTCAGCTGTCGAAATGCTGCCCTCGTGTGTTGTACCAAACCAACCACCGGTAAAAACCAAATCTTGTGTTTAAAAAAAACTGGTTGGACGGCTTTCGACGTGATGTGGCGACCATAGACCACTTCGTTCATGTATATGTTATGACCAAAATATGTAGATTTTGTCAATATATATCGATTTGATTTGTATTACTAACCGCCACTGAAAGCCCTCAAAACGAGGCGGCCTGGCGTTAGTTGTAAACGGAACTACACTTCTTTGCGAAATTTCAGTCAGGAACATTATAAACGACGTACCGCTAAGTGTGTATTTTGCATGGATGTAGCGTAAAGCCTAACTTAAATACTTTCAATACTTAAAGCGTCGTACCTGTTTGTCTCGTTTTGAATTGTTCAAACAATCTGGTCAGCGATGAGGGTTTTGGCTCGTACAGTTTTTTAAAAAAAAACGATTAAAATTATTAAACTCATACACGTATGTGACGCAATTCGCAAAGTATTGTGGGTATGATGGAACAGAACTCCCTCATAAAATCAACAGCTTTAACAGCGCTTTATACTAAAGTGGTGTTAACAAGGTTTTGGAAAGGTTACACTTTTTTTTTTTCTTTTTTACGATTCATTAACTGGTAGTTTTAGTACTGGTAGGAGGAAACCCTGAGTGAGAATGGTTGTCGTGTGAATGGCTTCCTGTTTTCACCCTCATTCAAACTAAGACTATACTTTCAGGGATCATTTCTATAGTTTCTGACTTGAGAAATGTGTTTCTAAAGTGATTGGTCTCGCTAACCACGATGATGAGTTGCGATATTCCCTTCTGAGCGTGAAGCGGATAGAGAAAAATGATTCACTTCATAAGTTCTCTGTCATTGATGACCGTTCTTTGCTTCCTTGTGGAGTATTGAGGGAGGGAATATGATCAGAGTGGTAGTATATTGATGTGGAAAAATAATGATATATGATATTACATAACTGAAATATGTTTATCCACCCACATATGCATTAGCAGCATAGATTACATCAGATATGCTTGTCTAAGGGCACAATTTAAAACTTAGTAAATAGTTTACTGATATAGTTAAAAAAAAAAAAATCTACTCAGATAATTGGTATTATTTTATGTAACAATGGTAATCATTCTGTGTCCAGTTTCTGGGAAACCTGCAATGGGCATTTCTCAGTACATCATTTCATACACTAAATGATTAGGGAATATGATCAGAGTGGTTGTAGTCCATAGTGGAAAAACTAACAATTAAGATAAGCAAGAAATCATATTAAAGTGATTGTAAAAGGGTTGTACTGATCTGAAATTGGATGTAAAACAGAAACTTCTTATTTTAACTCATCATTCTCAAAGCATTTAGAAATTTGGTGGGTCAGGGGGTGGTCAACGTTATTTGAGGGGGTACGAACCACAAGAATGAGCAGTGCCATTCTTCAGACTGTAATGTTGTGTATGTTTTTCTAAAATTACAGAAAATAAGAATGAAATTAAAAAGAGAAAGAAATGCACTACACTAAATATTTAATATGGCTATATTATTAAATATTATACAGATAATAATCTGTATAGTAATTCAACACTTTAATAGTGTGTAGCAGCCTTGCAAGTTATTGAATTCTATGAATTATTTTTCATAGAATTATGATGTAGCAACACAAAGCTATGCTAACTGTCAATCTATTTCGCATCTAACATATGAATTAACCAACTACTTAGGTTATATGTGACCTAGACTGACTGTCTTGTATTGTGCTGTCCACTTACTACATGCCACACAAACAAAAAACCTTTAAATTCACAGGTACTGTGTTTTCAAACAAAATTAATCACAAATTTGAGTGATGATGACAGCAGATTTGTGTGATAATAGACTTGCAGACTCTTTGACTAGTCATAGTATAAACACAGGTGTTTGTACTAACATTAACAATGGCTCTATTCTATTCAAGTGTCACAGTAAGTCGTGACACTGTGAAAGTGAGCCAGCATTAACAATAACAGCAAGTACCTAAACTAAAGCAGCTAAATGTAAATCAGCCATCATTAGTTTGATCAATTACACTTGTACTCTTTGTAATATTACATGTTAGAATGTCTTCTGTGAAAAAAGTGTTTGAAAGCCTCTCCCTACATGTTGTTACACAGGTGTTTCACTTGACTCGTCAGACTCAGGACTGTGTGGGCATGTGCAGATGTTACTTTATTGACAATGATTTATGTGTTTTTTTTCCCCACACATTATTCAGTTGTGGTGATTGAAACAGTGGCAAAAGCAGATTCAGCCATCCTATGGTCTCTGAATGAATTCTCGAGTTGCTCCGCTGCTTTTATCAACATCATTGACTCCTGCCTTGTGCTGTCAGGTCCGCATGTTTTGCAGGGTTGAGGATCTCCCATTCAACTTAACAGTCCTCTACATTGCAATTACATTACAACATAAACATTTTTTTAAGTTGTTTTAATGTTAGTTTTAATGTTCATTTTGTTCTGAATCGATCATATACAGTGTATTTCAAATTCGATGTCTATTTAAAAATAAATCACATTTTTATATTTACAGTTTTTATCATGCTGAAAACAGGAAGTTGCGCTTGACGTAAATTGCTGTTTGACGTATTACGTAAATAAGTTGATCAAGCTTTTACCCGCAAGGTTGTTGTCTTCCTAGAGCAGTAATTATTTCTCGCTTCGTCAATGTTAATGACAGTGCTACAATTACACAAACCCGTGGAGATAAAACGGAATTGTTGTTTTATCCGACACATGCGGATATGCTATCTGACTTTGTAACGTAACTACAAAGTAAGCCTCGTGTGGACAACAAACCGTGTCGTTAGTCAGCTAACAGGGGTTAGCACCAGAAATCTCTACACCGTACGCTCTTCATGCTCACTTTCCCTTCCATTTCGTTGTCGTCTGTTGTCGGCCTTTAGCCTCTGTCACCAAGTTCAGTCCGTGGTTGGTCGCCAGGAGAGGATGAACTGGTTTTTCCCCCTGTCCAAAGGCTCCGGACCTCTCCCTCTGAACAGCCTACAACAACAAAGACAGCGGCAGATCGAGTCACTCAAAGCCGCTCATCCCAGGTAATGTGCGCGCCGACCGATAACCTAAAACCAGACCCTGGTGCTGCTCGTTAGCTTGTTAACATAAACGTTATCTTTTCAAGCTGAGAAATGGCCAACACGATGTTTCATGGCCACTAACTAACATTAATTAGTGGACCATGTTCGTACACAGCTGATGTTTACTTGTAGCTAGCCACTTTGATCACAGTGAAGTCAGAAGAAACACGTCAGGCTAACAAATAGACCACAGCCTCGTGTTCGATCACATTTGTCCCTGCTTTTCTTTTAATATATCAAAACAATACCACTGCTTTGACATCCCTCAGTGTGTGTGTGTTGAACGGGTGGTGATTACCAACCTTTCCTTATAGCTAACGAGCTAGATGTGGTTTCCCAGGGCGCCGTGCTAGCTGGCTAGCTAGTCAAGTCAAGTGACATTTACAGCTTCTATTTTTAGGGTTTGTGATACAAGCTATGACCGGCTGATCATGTTCTGTGATCATTCCGGTGTTTGTCGACTGAACTTGTCACGCATGTAGTTTTAGAAGGAGGCTTCTAATTAGACGTGGGGATTAAAGTATTAGCCTTTGTTTACTAAGGAGCCCTGTCATCTCAGTGACATATTTGTTTTTTCTTTCTACTGAGTTAGACATAAACTGGCGGCATGGACAGACTATTCTAACATCTCTTGTTAGCCAGATGCCTTAAATCATAGTCACCCTCCTGATGTAATGTATGTGTGTGACAGAAATTGGATTACACATGTTTGCGATGGTACTATTTGTTTCCTGTGGAAGTGCAGTTCATGGGATTGTAGAGACCACATGGCTAATGTGCTGTGAGGAATGCTAATCATGGCATGGCAATGATGTTAAGGAGTAAGTGGATGGGAAAAGAGAATTCAAAGACTACGTACAGGACAGGGTGTAAGGCCAGGGCTTCTTGACATGCAGCTTTCAACAGACCATATCTGACTTCTGTAGGAATAAATGACTTATTATGCCATCTCACTTTGTCATGTTGTCATGCTAAGAGATAAAAGTTCCTCAGTGATGATAGGCTTTAAAGGTCTCTTCTTTTAATGAATCTCTCTCTCTTTCCAAACGAGCAGAATTCTGATAAACATTTGTGCCAACTATGACTACAAATTCAACATTACATATCCTGGCATTCCTGTGTTTCTCTTTCTCAACAGCCTTGCAGAGATCCAGAAGGATGTGGAATATAGAATACCATTCACAGTCAACAACTCCACCATTAGTGTTAACATGTGAGTACGTCTTTGCACAAACAACCTCAGTGTGAGAGTATCAAAAGCAGGAGGTACTTCACAGTCACTTTGTACATCAGCCACTGATGTGGTTGGATTTCTGACTATGGTTGAAAAACTAATTAACATCAGGTCAGGTCATTGAATTTGTTCTCTATTTATAACTAACATACTTGTAGTGTTTTAATTATTATTAAGAAACATTAATATAAGGTCAAGCAGCTATTGTAGATGGTTTTAACTTGTTTTAATTTTGTTATTTATTTTATTTTCAAACAAAATTATAGATATCAGGGATCAATCAAAAGCAAAATGCATTAGAGCACAAGGATTTAAGTATGTTTTATCAGCAACTCACAAATTATGCCAGTGAGGAGTGTAAGAAGAGGATGTGAACCCAGTGTTTTGTTCATGAAACTAAATCCAAAGGACTACAAGCATTATACCAGAAGCTAGATTCAAATTGTCATATCTTCACTAGACCGTTTGATAGGAAGAACTACGAAAGTAAGAAAAGCCAGTTAGCAACTTCAACAGTGGCACTGGCTTTAGTCCCCACAGCATGAGCTATTCAAATTCTTTATGCTGTTAAGAGCTGTTAGTGAAAACCTTTACCAGATTTCTTCCAGTGATGCTGAGGCTTCCAATTTTATCACATGTGAAGTCTCAGACAATATAGGGCTATGCTATAGGGACAAATACATGTTACACTGCCATAATACCATATTACAATATTAATATAAATTGGCATACTTTGCTGTTTTCTTTCTTTCAGTCTGCTACCTCCTCAGTTCCCTCAGGAGAAGCCGGTGGTTAGTGTCTACCCCCCTGTTGGTCATCATTTAGTTGACAGCAATAATGGCACCATGATCACTAGTCCCCTCATCACTAATGTAAGTAGTCGTCTAGGTTTTTGATTTTGATGGGTTTGATTAAGTTGGTGGTTTCCAATTTGTTTTTTGAGGAGATTCCAGGAATGGTGAAGGGAAGGAGATCAATGGGTGTATTTATTTTAGATCTACGATATGAAACATTCAAGAAAGCCACTATTCTCACTGCCTTTTTGTTGGCTGGGTAGATGGCCATGGTGTAAGGTAATGTGCACACTAAAACAGATTTTTTACAGTTATTCTTGTGCTGATCAAAGTCAGTAGTAGTACTATGATTTTGTGATACAATTAAAACAGTGGTAGAGGTGAGCTGACATAATTTTGACTATTGTCACTCAGTAACAACTTTTCTTTCAATGTTGTTAACTATAACCTCAACTTGTGAACATGATTTTCATACTTTCACTATGTGTAAAGCATCAAGAGAAACTGAAAATAAAACTCAGCACAGGGTCATTATGGCTGACAGGGGCTGGGTTGAAAGGAAAGATCATTACTTATAGTTTTATCCCAAATAATTAAATCACATCTGACTCAAACTGAAACTGAAGTAAGGTGGTTTCCACAGCTGAACAAAGGGTCTTTACAAGACCTCGAATAGTAAAGAAAAACTGTCTTAATGCGGCCTCAGTCATAATGCTCTGACTATTTGACAAGGAGATAAAGTGTTCTGGATATTATGTTTACAAGAAACATACAGTGTAGTTTGGTTTTCCATCTCCTCTATTCATGATTACAACATCCCAGCATTATATATCATTTGTGAACCAAAGCCAAAGGGCTTACTTAGGTTTCTGAAGCTAAGATGTGTTGTTTACTTGCACAAATGAATAAACCTCATATTTCAAAACCCTGATCACAACAGAGATGACAGTGTGGAGATGAGAGGGGGTCTGATTGCTGGGTTTTACAGTAATCAAGTAAAACTGTAGTGTTACTCAGCTGTAGAAACATCAGTTGGTTTTTTCCTGGTTGTTTCTCATTTTCTGTTTTCTCCATTAAGAAAATCCACTTATTTAATTTTTGTTAGTTATTGCCTTATAGTACTTTTCTCCAAGTATTAAGTTTGTCTTGTTGTGTACATTGTAGTTTGGGATGCACTCAGATCTGGGTAAGGTCGTACAGAGTCTGCTGGACGAGTTCTGGAAAAGTCCTCCTGCCTTGATGTCTTCTGGTCCTGCTGGCTTTCCATAGTGAGTTTAAACTGCATTCATGGAGAATATTAGACACTCTTGTCTCACTATATCCTCATTAGAACAGAAAACTCATGTGTTTGGCAACCTGGGACTTATTTAGGTATTTTGGATAGTAATTAAAATAATGGTGAATGAAATGAATAAAATAATAACCCAGCTTGTTAAAAAAAGAATATTTCTTGCTCTTATTTTCTCCAAAAGATACATTTGATCTTGTTTCCGCCCCCTTGTATCGCAACAGTATGTACAAGCCATCAGGCATCGCTCCCTACCCCACTCAAGCTTACCACTATGGTTCTCGTCATGTGGGACCCAGCCAGACACCGCCTCCTGGGCAAGGCCCAGGTCCATCTCCAGCTCCCATGCCTCACCCAGGGGTCGATAGTGCCCACGGGCCTCCTCGTGCTCCAGCTCCATATGGACTGATATCTGAACTGCCGCTGCCTGTACCCACTGGAGACTCACAGGTACACTGATGATGGATAATGTACACAAGTGGGGTGGTACCATCCAGACTACGCACGCACGCACGCACGCACGCACGCACGCACGCACGCACGCACGCACGCACGCACGCACATACTGGGGACCATCAAGGTACTTTTGAAGTAGTTACATATTTATTTGTATTGTAAACATGGAACACACCCCCTAGCTGCAGTGTTTTGAAAAGTAAATGCAAAGTCAAGCTTTTGGCAGTTTCAAAGATTAAGGTTCTCCAAGACTGATAAAGAAAATATATGATAAAAACAAGCAGTAGAGCCTGAAATTATCCAGCTTTGGTTGAGCCCATTCAAGGGAAGAGGCTGGACTTTGCAGTTTAGATATCTTTTCCTGAAACTGATCTGTTGGGTTTGACAAATCTAGTGTCTACATAGAAACCAGGTTCATTAAAGAATGTGACTTGCTTACAATACTTGTGTCTCTCTCAGGCTGGATTGAACGGACATATGTACAAGATGCCTGAAATTCCTGAGTCTTTTCCTGAACTCTGTGACATGAAGTAAAGTATTCCAAAATATTGTCAACTTAAAATATCTTGATCATTGTTGAAGCAGGTTATAATGTGTGTTTGAGATAAGGGAAACATTCTTTTGTGTCCATCATTGATGTCTTTGTTCTCTTGTTCTGTTACCCACTGCATCCCACACCAGTCTGACCCAGTTGTCAGATATGTCTGAAAACGAGGATGTGCTGCTGGAGTTCTTTGTGACTTTGCCACAGCTCAAGCAGGTCACCAGCGATAAAGAAGAGCTGGTCACCAGCATAGTGGACATTGCTAGTAAGCTCCTCCCCTGCTTCATAGGCCAGTCATGAAAGAGAAGTTTTAATGAAGTTGAGCTTTACAAAGACCTGTACATTTCTTTTTGTCATTTACAGAGAGAAATCTTCAGATGGAACCACAGTTGGAAGGGAAAAGACAAGAAATGCTCTACAAGGTTCGCTCTTATATCGTCTCCTTTTAAATGCACACACACACACACACACACACACACACACAACAAACATATTCATGTCATTGTCTAGGAGCTTAATGAACAGGGGGTCTGTCTGCTGTGTTGACAGTACGAACAGCTGACTCAGATGAAGATGGCCTTTGAGACAAAGATGCAGAGACAGCATGAACTCAGTGAGGTAAGAGGCTACACTCGTCACACGTCAGATAGACATTATTGGGTGGAAGCTTCTGATCACCTCTTGAAAGAACTGCTTTCAATTTTATGTTTAACATTTATCTTTAGTTTTTGATTTTGAGAAATCGTTGTAGTATTTTTTAATTGTATTGTTACCTTGTCAAATGAAAGAAGCCTACAGAGAAAATATTAACAAGTTGAAGAGCCCAATCCAAACATGTTTGAACATGTCTTTAAACTGAAAATTTCTGTTGCTCCATTTCTTACTTTAGTGTCTTTTATTCCCTGCTAGAGTTGCAGTCTTAGTACTTTACAGGCTCGGTTAAAAGTTGCAGCCCACCAGGCAGAGGAGGAGTCGGAGGAGACGGCTGAAAACTTTCTGGAGGGGCGCACAGACATAGACGAATTCCTGACCAGCTTCATGGAGAAGAGAACGGTGAGAGGCCTGAAGTGCAGTATTTGTGAGAAGATAGTCATAATATATTGTTTTTAATGAGTCTGAATGTTATCAGATTGATGCCTCTTGTGTTATTCAACAGCTTTGCCACAGCAGAAGGGCCAAAGAGGAGAAGTTGCAACAGTCCATCAACACACATGGACAATTTCCTACCAGCCACTAGAACACAAGGTACAACACACACACACAATTAACAAGATCAACCGACAAGCAAAACACAAGATTGTAACATTCAGACAGTCAGAGGGAAACTGCTGGGTCTCAGCTGTCAGTTTCACAACAGGCAGCCCTCATGGCTTTTTTTTTACAGCTAAACATCCCCTCCATTTTTATCAAGAAAAAACAATTTGTCATCATCACATGTTCATTCTACTTCTTACTTACGTCTGCTTCTTACATAATGTCTACAGGTTTGGAGTTTTCTCAGCCAACTGCTGCCAACTAAAGGATAAAGACATTTGAGAAAACGAAAAGCACACTGAGTCAACAGAGGGCACTTTGGAGAAATATGAAGATGGTGATGGCAATGGTGGGCTTAAAAAAAGGAGCCCGTTTGGGCTCAGATTTGGGTTACAAAAAACAAAAAACAGCTGAAGTTGGATTGTGTGAGAGCAAAATGGAGAAGCTATTAAGTCACCACAGGAGGCCAAAATTGGAAGAATGACTGACACATGCCTAGCTGTTCAACCATATCACTAAGGATTGATCACATTGTGGATAATTTTTATTTCACATTCTGTTTGTTCAGTTTTGACTCGACAGTGATGACAAAGAGATTTGTTTCTGTCAAGGATTCATGCAGTGCAACTGATCAGAGTGGTTGGTGATGTGAACACATTTTACAGAAAGTACAAATTGCAAATAGGACAGTATTCCCAATCTTACATTTTTCCATGCTGTGATTGAGTTCACTATAAATGAACTGTTGAAATGCTAATGCCGGTGTCTGTATTTCCAGTTTCTGAGATCATTGCCCTGTCCTTGCTTTATTTGACCATAAAGGCCCTATTCCTACTGGACAGACAAAAGGAGCAACTTTCGCACATTAAATCTCCTGTTTACATTGGAAATGTTGCTCTGTCCATTTACATAAACTCATCACTGGGGTGTCATTGTCAATCTGTCCGAGGCAATCCTGTTTGTAATTTAACAAATTTTGGATTTACCAACGAAAGAAAAGAAGCAAGGACGCAGCAGTGTTTTTAACTCGGGCTGTGCATTTTAACTGGGAAGTGGTTGTTTCTTTATTAAGTTCTTACATTTCCAGCTTTGGCGATTTCCTGAATGCATCCTTAATATCACTGTGTTTGCACAAACATGAATAATTCGATTGAAGACGTTAAGACAGTACTCTGATACACCCTGTTGATGTATCTACTGTATGTTCTTACAAATTATTTTCAAAGTCAACATAAACCAAATTACATATAACAGTTTTATGTTTTTTTAAGCTACTGTTAGTGGTTTTGGTTCATTTTATTAGTGCAGAAAACGGACATTAACTGCCACAGATTATTTCAGACATTGATTATATAAAGTCATTTTAAGGGGAAATCAGAGTACTGTAAACGGTTTAATCACACTATTACCTTAATTCCATTCTTTTTACAATAATCGAATTATTTGTGTGTATGTAAATACACTGATGATTATTTTTTGCTGATAAGCATCATTATGATAACCTGACTATTTTATGACACCTTTTGAACTTGAAATGTTTGAAGAGCCTCCGAAGGTTTGGGTCAAAGTTGAGGAACATTAGATTAAATGCTGCAGTAAAACTCGATGACATTGGATACTGTATTTAAATAATGTTAATAATAGGCTATATTGTAATCAAAGACTCAGACACCTTGTATTATATGTTCTTATTTAATTTGTTAGAGTAATAAAGCATTTAGAATAAATCTGTGTTGTTTTGTGTGCTGTTTAACAAGTCAGAACATGAAAGAAACTATTAACACTGGGACTGAACTGAACACGAAATCCAAAATCTATCCCACAAAGTATTTCAGTAACATTTTATAATACAGCAATACAGTGTAATTTTGTTGGATGAATCATGAATTGGGTACCAATAAAATACTTACTGGTTTCTACTGGCACCTACATGGAAGTACAGTGGGGGGACTATAAGGAAACAAGGGAGTAACAACTAGACATTTTAGAGGAAAGGGGAAATAAACCTGTGACTGTCCAGACTAACTTACATTTACATAGTCTCTACAGCAAGGTTTTTGGTCTAATGCTCCAGACTTCATGTTACCACTTCTATGTTACATCCATCCAATAACATGAAGTTGAAAATAGAAAATAGCATCTCGCAAAAGGAAGGAACAAAACAAAAAGAAATGAGAATATTTTATGCTGTATTTAGCGTTCTCATTGTGTTCTCATAGACAAATACACATACTCTCTTCTTTGATTTTTCTGTGAAGTACTGCTATTGAAATGAAGGTGAAAGGTGAAACCCCTAACCCATGACGAGTGACACCACAGAGGTCACAAATCAAAAAGGATAAGAAAACGTTTTTTGTTTTTTTTTAATCTTAAGAAATGTATTTGAATGAAAATTAACTATTAAGTAGTAAAAAGTAGACTATTTACGTCTAAAATGTAATGAAGTACATAAAATTGATATACTCAAGTACAAGTAACTTAAACTTGTACTTAAATATGATACCTGAGTCACTGTACTCAGTTACTCTCTACCACTGGAGAACTATCAAGAGAGGTTACATTTCTGGGAATATGAGCATGGGTACCAAAGTGCTGTTCTGTGATTTTAAAGAAATGTAGATACCTTTACTTTGCTTGGGATATCATCCACGTGGTATATACCCTCCCCATGATACAATAAACCCTCCACGTGATTATATACCCTCCACAGCCACAGGTGGCAGTAATTCGCCGTGCATCACAAACAACCGGAAATCTGCGAGGAGCAGGAGGGGGGGATAACAGGAAGGCGCGCACTGCCAAAGGTGAGCTGGTAAACTTGTGCATGACTTCTCTTACGTTAAGAGGCTCTTTTCTGCAAAGTATTCAAAATGCAAGTCACCGTAAAATCAAACAGCAGATAACCAAAGTCAACCGACGAGGTCTCTACGCTGCCTTCAACGGTTAATAGTTAACGGTTAGCTGAATTCAGTTGTAATGTAACTTGACGTTGACAATGTGGTTGACAGTTAAAAAGCCAGTTATCAGTGTTTTAAATTTCCAGTAATTGTTATTATATTGAAGTCGGTAGTACAAGCTATGGGACATTTGCAGCGTCAGTACTTTTAGCTTTATTTAGCCACTCGGGGGTTTGTCCTTTGTCTTGAGCATTTTAGCTTGTACAAAGGAAAAATGTCCTCTCTGTCCCAAGATCCAGGAAGATTCAACTTAAAACATGCTCAACTGTGCTTAACCTAACTGATCTTCTGAAGCCTCTGTAGAGATTCATGTGCTTTACTTTAAGAAACATTTCACCATCTACTGTTAGTTTAAGACCATCCACCCACCATTGCTCTATATGTGTAGTTCAGACCTGAGCCATGTCACGACAGATGGGAGACAGCCATCGAAGGTTTCTACAGACCATGATGGTCAATGGCATTGTTGATGAACAAGGAGCAAGGACACTTTATCAGCATTGCTGTGAAACACACAACAGTGAGTGATTTTATATATAATTAATTGCAAATAACTGGATTCAAAGTGCATCAGGAGACATGATTCATAGCAGGTCAAGGCCTGTGCAGTTTGCTGAATGATAAGCGTAGAAATACCAAAAGCAAACCCTCAGCAAGCTCATATTTATTCCTGAAGTTAAACTGAATATTTCATTTGTTTTTCTACATAAACTAAATAAACTGTGAATTCTTGTACACATACATCTCATGCAGAACTTTAATGCTGAAAATATGTATGTTTTTGGCCAATAATTTGCCTTACACATGATTCTGTAAATGTTAAATCCGACATCTGATTTTTTGCCCATATAACCATAGTTATATCTGAAATTAAAGTTGCCAGGAGTTGCCAGGTTTTTGGGTTTTCTGGTTGTTGAAATCTCTTCATTTGGACAAGTAAACTGTAAATATGAGGGTTACACATAATTTCTTTTCTATGTTTGCAGCACAGTACGCTCCCGACAAACTGGATGAGTTCATTGATACGATCAACTCAAAGCTGCAGCCCATGTTCATGCAGATAAGAAAAGGGATGTCTGAAGATAATGGTCAACAATACTACGCCTTGGTTAGTTTATTTAGTTCCTGTACTGGGCCTGTTTCATGATTTAAAGTCATAAGAATTTTGATTGGCTTGTAAAGATAGTGAGCATCTCAGGACAAGAACCTGTGTGATCACGGTGTACAGATTTAGGGATGTGAAGCACAACTACAGTAGGTCACAAAAGAAACTTCTTTTTCCCTGTCTGTCCTGAACAAACGGGAGGCTAAAGTTTTGAAATTCAGTGAGTTTATAGACTGCTTTATAAAGCCATACTGTAAGAAGACAGTTGTCTGCATTAAAGTACAATGAGCCACCTGAGGCATTATTAATCACAGTTTTACTCTAATCCTGTGCAGGTGAACATGGCTGAGACTGACGTCACCAGAATGTCATCAGATTATGCCGACAATGAGCTGGAGCTGTTCAGGAAAACGGTGAGTTGACTGAAGGAGACATTCATGCATAGCAACATTTTGTGAGTGACCTGAAAGAATAGAAATTCATGCACATAGTATTGCAATCCAGTGGAATAGTCTTATAATAAAATACTACCTTTGTCTTTATATTAGATCACATATTGCACATGTCACCAATCTTCTACCACCCAAAATATCACTTAACTGCAATAAGTAGTGACCAGGCAGAGCTGAGTGGCAGCTAATGTTTGAGTAAACTCTGGTTATATATACTGTATATCAAAATACAGAAAATAATCTGAAGAGGGCAGAATTTCGCATGGCATTGGAACAGGTGTCAGCAGTAATCAGTGTTGAGCTGCTTTAAAAAACGATTTCCCCACTAGAAAGTGTGTCATGACTAGGGTTGTCACAATATCAGATTTTCATTACTCAATTCTTGTGGTCAAAAGAATTCACAGTAACGATATTAATGCGATATCAATATAAATTTGAAATAAATAAATAATAGTAAGGCTATTAATCAAATTCATCTTTAACATTGTTTATTGTGTGTTTTGTCACTTTTTTGGCAAATAAATTAGAATCAAATACAAGTGTACGGAGGTGGAGAGAGAGTCTGTCACCATAACTGTACAAAAGCGTACAAAATGAACATTTACATTTGATGAACTGATGAAGATGAACTGATAAACAAAACATCCACAAGTCCTAACATTTGCCATCACTTTATTATCATATATCTATAATTAACACAATATCAATATTTAATTTTTTAAATATCACAATTATCGTCAATACAGGTATATCATGTCATGACTAACTTGAGCTGTTCCACCTCAGATGGACCTGATTGTGGGCTCTGAGAATGGCAAGGCGTCCTCCACCGACATCCTGAATAGCGCAGACACCATGACCAGCAAAAAGCTGAAGAAAAGTGAGACAGAGCACCTCCTGAACCGACTCGTGCATGACAAATGGCTCAGTGAGGTAAAATACTGTACATTGTCTCCACCAAATTTTCCAAATCAAATTTAAGTTGTATTCCCTCCGTATTTTCTACAAACTGTTTGCATGTTTTGTGTGGACAGAATTTAAATTTTAATTTAATTAAAACTTGTTGTTTAGTTAGCCAGCCTCACTAAGATAAATATTTGCAATGCTGGTATTCAGATGGCTGTGTATATATATATATGTACATATATACAATATATACATATACAGAGGATGAAACAGCTGATTCCCTTTTAAAAAATCAGGTCACTGAAAGCGGCAAAAGTTTTAGGATTCAGTGAGGCAAAAGATAAAGATTAGATGGAAATATTAGCAATAGAAATAAACCAACCGTACAATCTGAAACTCATATCTGTAGTTTTCGCAGATTTGTTCATATTCCCAAATCCAGACTTTGCTGTTCAAATAATGAACATGCAATATGTGAAATGTGTCAACACAAATAATCATACTACATTTGCTATCTGAATTTATTTTATTTACTAATAAATCATCTAGTAATCAGGTGAAAGTTGACTGGTGTTTTTGCTGTTGTGCCTAACCACTGCTCCGCAACATGTCCAAAAACACTTCATGTTGGTTCATTTGGTGTGTAATTGATTTCTGTTTATTAATTTAGAAACGGGGTGAATACACCTTGTCCACCAGGTGTATTATAGAAATGGAGCCATACATCCGCACAATGTATCAAGACCAGGTCAAAGTGTGCCAAATCTGTCACAACATCGCTTTCCAGGTAAATGTTGATAAATACCTGAAAGAAATTATAATCTATCCTCTCATTTATAAACTTCCTGTACTAATGTCATTAAATCACTACTATAAAGTATTCCTACTATTAAGCTGTGCCTTACTGAAGAGACAGTTTTTTCCTGTTTAAGCGAAGCTAGGCTACCATAGTTGTATGATTACATCCATAACTGATACTAAGAAGACAATCCTGACTAGCAGTTTTGTCATTGATATTAGCAGTTTTTTGGTTGTGGTTATAAATGGATAAATCCAGCCTTAAGAGCACATTTCAAAAGCATAGCTTCATATTTAGTCTGGAATCATATGTATATGTACTGTATACTATTTGAAGGAAACACATCTGAAGGATAAAAATAATTATTATTACAGGTTAAAGAAGGGAATTGCTTGCCACAAAGACAATAATCAACTATTGACTAATCAACACAGAAAGCTGTGTATATCATTTTTGTTTTACTCAACCTTGTACATAAAACCTAACCATACATTATTCTTTATGGGATTTCTAACTGGATTAATTAAATCTGATTTGTATCTTTTTTTTTTTTTTTTAGTGCCAAATCTGTGAAAATCCTACATGTGGCATAAAAATACACAACCCATGTGTGGCCAGGTACTTTAAAGGAAGATCAGAGCCACGATGTCCGGCTTGTGATGACTTTTGGCCACATGAAATCCCTGGTATTTATATTTATATTTGTGAAAGTTGTTTCCACATGTATTACTCCCACAGTAATAATTTATATCCGTTTTAAGTCCCACTTTTCATTATTATACAATTACTAAACAGCTGATCCTGAACCATTCTCAGGAGATTTCACTCATTTTTTATCAAGTGATTATAAGTTTGGAGTTTTTTTCCGTAATATTCTGATCTACTGCTTGAATTTTCTGAATTATTTATAGAAGATGAATTCATAAAAAGCACTGTCTCTCATCTACATTTCCTTTTGTGTTGTCTTTTATATTCATGAATTACAATGAATGGCAAGTAACATGAACAAGAAGACACACTCCCTGCTTGTATGTTTGACACATTATTTGTTCTGGTCATTACAGAAGTCAGACGGCCCAAGTCTCAGTCCAGGAGATGAGGACTCAAGCATCAAATGTGTTTTTTTGTTTGTTGAAATTGTTTAAAGTATTTTTAAAATAAGTTTTTTAATAAACCAAATTGTTATTGTAAATATCTTTATTTCTACAAATATAAATGAGAATGTGTTTCATTGAAATGTCTTTTTTTATATGTATATGTTTTCACACAATCATTAAAAAATAAAACCAATACAGTTATCCTGGGGTAATTTTATAAATGTCATGTCTGCACTTTTTTTGTCTGTGGTAAAACTAGCAACAGTCTAGTAGAAAAAATGTTCTTTAAAACAGTCTAGTAGACTGTTGCTAGAGGGGAGACATAACACAAAAAGTAAAAATAAATAGAGTCTGCTGTTAAACATTTTTTCTCACAAACTGATAATGGTTTGGACATTAGTTTTGCATTGCAAATGGAAGCTTAGATGCAAAATTCACGTTACCTTGAGAATCCTGTGTTAAATGGAATTGCTGACATAGCAATGAAATACATTTCCCAAAATCTTAATCAAACATTTTCTGTCCCCTAACGAAACACTTGAAACAGTGTAAGGTGATACCCAGAGGCAACTCTGCTCACAATTACAGTCATGTTTAAAACGGATTTTATTTTCTTCTGAGCAAATTATTGCATTTGAAGATTTGCTGATTAATTTCTGTTGATAGACTAAACAGCTGTTACACTTATGCTGAGTACTAAATCTGACAGACTGAGGTGCTAGTCAGCAAGGGGTGCAAATGAAATAAGACAATTATATTGATCTAAAAATATATAAGATATTAATGTAAAATGTCAGTGAAGTAAAACAAACATCACATCCTGCATTTGTGTTGTTTCACATAGGACCAACATCAGTTTAATATTGTTACACTCTCTCTTGCCAGATGATATGGGTCAAGAAAAAATGTTCTTTAAAAAATCTTTAAAGTATATTTGCCTGAGAGGAGTCCTGCTCTAGTATCTTGAGGGTGACAATGAGCTTGATAGCTTTTCTAAACCACCGATAGAAAAAAGCATATATGAGTGGGTTTAAACAAGAATTAAAATACAACAGCATAGACACAATGGGCCAAAATGAAGCACTGTTTGAGGTGTCCTGTCCTGCAAGAGAAGGGTAGTAATACGGACAGAATGCCATCAAAAACACTAATATGACAACACCCAGAGTCCTGGCTGCTTTTTTCTCTGATTTCTTTGCAGTGATTCTTACTGAACCGCCTGAAACAGCTGTAATATGAGACTGCAAGGCACGGGCCTGAGCCACCGCCACAACAAACACTCTAATGTAAAGAGTGACTATGACTGAGCAGGGGCTGATGAAAGTGAGCACAAGGTCAATGGCTCCGGGGATGTAGTTAATCACCACCAAACACTCCCCGTCGCAGGAGCTGTGTCTGTCTGGCTGGCTGAGATGGTCCTTTAAGATCAAGCCGTTGTAGAGCAGTGAGCAGGCCCAGCACAGACACACACACACCTCAACTCTGCTGCGAGTGATTTTGTTGGGGTACTGCAGAGGGTAACAAATAGCTACATATCGATCAATGGAAATGAGCACCATGTTCCCCACAGAGGCAGAGATGAGAGTGAAGCCGATAATGTAAGACAGAGCGCACATGAGATCACCCAGCAGCCAGCAGCTTTCTACGAATCTCACTGTTTCCACCGGCATCACCAGCAGCCCCACAAGGAGGTCTGAGGTGGCCAGGGAGAGCAGGAGCAGGTTGGTGGGGGTGTAGAGCTGTCTGAAGTGGGAGATGGAGATGATAACCAGCAGGTTGAGAGCTACAGTGAGCACAGTGATGGAGGAGAGCAGCATGTAGAGGAGGACGGCCTCAGAGCGAGGACGCAGTAAACCCCTGCAGGAGGAGTTGAGGAGCTGAGGGTAGCAGAGCTTAGCTCCCTTCAGACCGTCCATCATCCAGTACTGAGGAGAGGTGATGACCTGAACCTGCTGAGTAGCTCTCTGATCGTACCAGACACACAGTAGCTCATTTATCTCTGACAGCACTCCCTAGTCCTTCCTCCTCAACTCCCCAGTCATCCTCTTCATCTGTCTCCTCTACACTCCTTCTTCCTTTGCTCTCTCATGTCTATCTAATTTTCTTTTTCCCTCCTACTTCTCTCTCCTCCCTCTAATGCCAGCCTATTCATTGTCACTTACCTCTCTCCTCTTCTTCTTCACCTCTCCCTTGCTTTCCCCCTCTGCCCTCCTCCCTTTTCCTGCCCCCCTCTCACCACCCCTTTCCATGATGCAACATATGGGTTTCATAACAACTGATGGAAAACTTTTCTCTGAACTTTACAGCTTTGTTGTAGTTTTAAGATAGGTACAGGTTTAAGCAGACAACCTTGATCAATCTTTGATGTTATCAGTGAGAACTCGAGAACAGACAAAGCAAAGCTAAGAGTAATTCAGCAGCAACATGCAAACAAAACTTACTTTACATTAAGAACATCAACAATCCAAATCTGTGTGGATTTGCATCTGCAATTATTTAATCAATCAATCAGTCAGGACACATTTTAATTAACAATTTAATGAGATGATTGTTTCAGTTATCCATACCAAACATTTACTGGTTCCAGCCTCTCCCTTTTGTTGTGATTTGTTGCATTTCTCTGTTGTAAATCAGTGTAACGGTTTTGGCTTTTGGACTACCAATTTGTCAGCTTGGGGCTCTGGAAAACTGAAATGGGCATTTTCTTTTTTAATTTTCTGGCATTTTATAGGTTAAACAGTTGATTATTTAATCAAAATATTGGAACTTATTATTAATTTCAGCCCCAGATTTCACAGGTTATTGTCAATCTAAAACCTGCCTCTAGACTGCCATCTGATGCTAGATTCCCCTGTAGCCACACTTCACTTTATCCACAAACTACAACAAAAAGCCAATTCACCACACTATTATGGAGGCATAGCCAATTTTTACTACCTAACATACTGGGACCTGTGAATGTTTCTGCTTACTATGGTCACATCATTATTAAGACTGATAAATGGACAGAGCTTGTGTGGAGGTTGGCAGAGTTTGACAGACAGGACGTAGGGTCAATCTAGAAAACCTGTGTATTTTTGGTTGGTTGAGGTACAGTGTATGGTGTAGGGCTTGTAGGTGTTTCACCAAGAAAGGCCCAGCCGACCCCAAAACAGACAGGAGGTGGTTTTATAGTTCTGGCAAGCTTCTATCACCACTTTGTCCACTGGTCCCAGGTCCCTAACTTTTTCTCCGTTGTGTCTCAAACAAGGCAAAGGACACAGTCCTGAGAGTTTGGGGAGTTTACTGCTCCCTGTTCACTTCTCAGCAGTGATGTGGCTGCACTATTGAAGGACAGTTAGTCGCTTTAGGAGAGAAGCCACTGGCTTCCATGTGGCCCACAGCCCAAGCATAAGAACGTCAGTGTGGAATGACTGTCTGGATAGTGATGGCACAGTGCAGTTCAATAGTAGACTTCAGCCTGGGTGGTTTTTATTGAGAGCCATAGCCTTACAAACTGGGACCTGTAAATGTGTATGGATATTTGCCCATCAGCCTTGTGTTTGTGTGCTTCTACAGCTGTGCATATTGAGTTGATTTAATAGAGTTGGGATATTAAAATACTTTGGTACTCCACATGTACTGCACATTTGACAATTTAATATCCATCACTTAAACAATTCAGTTTTTATTATTTGTACCTTAGTGCTGGCGAGAAACAATGTGAATATAAATTATAGTCGTCCATCCTCTATATAACACTGAAAACATTAATTAATATCCTGTTATGAGCTCATATGAAACTAATGAATCTAATATCAACTGTATAATTTTGGATAAAGCAGAATTCTTTGTAGCTACGTTTGTCCCATTTTCATCGTACTTTTCACACACACAACAACATTGTTGTTGTCTGAGTCTGCTGTGGTCATGGCTCACATCTGCAAAGGGAATAGTGGTTGCATCATGTGTTGATGTGTTTACTGTGTTTATTAACACCTTTGACTGGAATTCACCTGTGGTTTAATGTGCTATCAGACATTATTACAAGGCGTTAACATGCCCCACCGGTACACAACAAAGCCGTCAACCTTAATGTTTGTTTTTCTCTATGTTGAAACTAATGTATTCTCTGAGGCACTGATGAGTTTGATGGCTTTATGAGTTTCGGTGCTAAATAATATCTTGGTTGGTTGTTGATGTTGGTAACCATTTAGTTTAACTTGGTTAAGATCTAAGGTCGTCTTTCCCCAGAGGTTTTAAAGAGTTTTTGGCCACAGACACAGGTAATGGACTGTGGCATTTGGGACTCTGTGTTGATTAAAAGTTGCAAAGTGACAGATTGTATGACTAGATTTACTTCACCACTTCTCAGAGGACAGTTTTGTATGTTTTTATGACACAACATTTACCTGATTGTTGTAATTACTGCTTGTTTTGTAGAATTATGTCATGCATCAAAATCAATCACTATCTTATGAAACATGATAAATAGTTACCAAACAAACTACATTACACCACATCAGTATTAAAATGATCACTGTTTAATGAAGGTTAATTGAACAGTCTGAAGTGTGACTGACTGCTCTTCAGACATCCTGACATTTAAGTGTATTTATTGCTGTATGCTCAAGCATAATTTAAGTACAGAAGCTGTATTCTTAATTTTAATCATATTGTTAACTAAGGTTTTTTACTGTTTTGCAGCATTTTTATTTATCAAATAGTGTACTCAGTGTTCATTCTCTTTATTTACACATTGATTGTATAGTTTCAGCTTACGCCACAAAATGTTACCCTAGTTCCAGACCTCTGAACTGCTGCTCACATCTCAGATTTGTTCAGCCATTCAATTACAATAGATACAAAGGAATGAGGTGAAACTAAATGTCAGATCAGGCTAACAAAATTCAGTAAGTCATACTGTATACCTATTTTGATGAACACAAACAAAACCAGATCAGAAGCATAGGCCAAGTTTGTGACCATGGGTTGGCTTTTAAACATGTCTGCATTTACTTAATTTCCTGTTTTCAAAAGTAAGGTTTTTCGTGGTTTTAAAAGATTAAACACCTGGCCCCTTTGAATGTTTTAAAGCCAAGTGAAAAGCTGCTCCATGATTTTAAGATTCTCAAAACTAAGACTGTGCTGTGCTCAGCTAGTGATGGAAAACAGCATTTTATAAAAGTCTGGGTTGAAAAACAGTGAACTCGTCCTTTAATGAAAAATTATTAGTTAATCATTAGCAGAGTTGACCCTTTCCAACTTTCTACATCTCCATGAAAACCTGGTGAACCATTCAGTCTGATTCTATGTGATTATTGGCAGAGCCAGATTATATATCTACACTTCATAATAATAATGATGAGTGTTTGTTAATTAGTCAATTCTGTCCTTAAAATTTATAGCAGATTGGTAAATCATACTAATATCATTGTCTTTGAGAGAAGAGTAACAAAGATATATTTTATAATACACTGCCATAGCTGTCCTGTAAAAACCACGTATCTCCAAAGCTTCAGCTTTTCATGTATCTCATGTATTTATAAATGGTTTTCTAAGAAGTGGGATAGTTCAATTAAACCATTAAAGGAAACTTAAAAGAGGAAAAATTCTAAATCATTAATTTTGGAGATATGTGTTTCCACTGGACAACTATGATATGTAAAAATTACAGTACATCATGAAAACAAACATACAATAATAAATACAACATTAAATAAGCTGGTCTGGGACCAGTCAGTGACAGTTGTGGGCATGCACTTGAGACCCATGTTGGATCATTCTTGGTGATTACTAACCACCTTCCACTAAGGCATCACACCGTGGAGCTGCTCACTGGTTGAACTGAAAGCTGAACCTGACTAGAACAACAGAAACTTGATCTGCCTGTTGGGCTTAGCCGCTGCTGGAGTTGTTATTTGGATAATCAGCCACTAGATGGCCCTGTTGGTAAAGCAGTTGACACTGATCTAATTAGCTTTGACAACTTCTTGCACTTTGCTCCAAGAAATCTATACTTAAAAAACACATTTTGTGAGCATGAAGTGCATGGAAAGGCATTTCTGCTATATGAACATAATATGTGGGATTTTTACAGTCATATCTTAGCTACTATCATCTTGTTTGATTAGTTTTAAGTTTGGATGCTTAATATTATTTTATGTGTAATTTTGACTCCCCTGCCTCAAGTTTCATTTGTGTGTCACCCAAACTGTCCAAGAAATGTACTGATACAAAGTACTCAGGATAATTGACTGAGTGGCCTGTCCTGACAAAATCAATAACTGATAATCACATTATGATGTCAATAGATCCTGCTCAGCAGACAGGAAGCATTGAGCAAATCAATGAGAACCATCAGTGTTGTTAAGCACCCGACTCCAGTTTTTATTTACCATGCATCTTATATTTCAGGCATTTAGCTCATTCATAAGTGTGTGCTGACTGCTACAAAATAAAATTCACCAATCTCCAAAAATAACCTAAAGCAGCCTGAAATAGGAAAAAGCAATTGGCCTTAGTGACCTTATAACACTGGTGTGACGAGAGAACGGGGAGTGAATACTGAGAGGAAGGCAGAATGAAGCCAGAGGAGAGAGCCAGATAGGATATTTTTAGAGAGCAAGGAGAGGTTAAATCGTTCTGTGGGAAGAGGGCGATGTTGTCTAGAAGATGAGTTTTCAGTCCAGGAGGGAAGACATGGATGGTTAGTGCTTTGTTGGGCCAGAGTGGAGAAGATTGAAGGGTGGATGACAGAGGAAAGCTGAGCGGACAGCAGCAGCTACAGTGTAGGACTCCATCTTGTACGCTTTGTGCATCCTGCTGATCCTGCCCCAGTGTCTTATGTAAACTGCTAAAATAGGCATCTTTATAGCTTAGGTTACCTCCATTTGCCAGTATACTTCACCATCATTTGTGGTCTGGAAATGAGGGTCTGAGTTTAATTATATTATTTGGTTTTCTTTGTTTGTTTTTCTCTGTGCAATCTCGAAGCTTTTCCTGTTACACTGAACGGTTGCTATATTCAAAACTCCATGAACACTGGGTGTTTTGATAACACTCAATAAATCAATGCATCACCTCTCACAGAAAATCTACAGTTATTTGTATATAAAATAAAAATCATCTCTACTGGAGCTGGAGACCCCAGGGTAACTTTTAGGTGAAATAAGTAAAACCACGACCAAAACTTCACCACAACCAAAATAACTTACCCTAACATCAAACTGAAGTAAAACATTTTAAACTGCAGTTATGTTTAAAAGGGGCTTGTCACTTTTGTATTATATGGAAAATTCTTTTCATACAAAATTAGCAGCTGTCAGAAAACTCTGGAGACACAAGGAAGCACTGTGCCTATATTATTTATGGTGAACACCAACGCCTGTTCTTCTTTCTCTCTTAACCACATCATCACCACTCTGCCTCAAATAAAACGACAACGGCTTTTAATCCACAGTTCAAGTGCTGCCTCTTCAGCGTGACAAAAGCACAGTACAAACAAGTCCATTCACTTCATTAAACTTATAAATTTGACATTTAAATTGAGTAAACGTACTGTATATGACTTTGGATACATTAACATTTTATGTCAAAAGATAAAGATATTATGTCAAAAGAGTACATTTTAATATTGTGATTATGCATCATTTGAGTGATTGAGTGATAGTATTTGAAATAATTTATTCTTATGTGTTTTAGAGACATAACTGTTCCTGATTATGGACTCTTTTTTAATTGTCAATAATCACTTTGCCATTTGAAGCCAGTTTAATACAAAATGACTGTGGAGCGATGGGGAACTGCAGGAACAGAATTCTTTTCACCAGTCCTTCCTAGGAAAACTTTTTTTCCTGCTTAAACTTGCTTGTAGAGGTTGCTAAAAGGTCCTTAAATTACAATTAATGAAACTGCTTTTCTATGTAATTTTAGATTGTAGCTTAATCTGCTCATTAGCACTTTACTCTATGTTCAGTTTGGATTATAAACAAGAATAAGATTATTTTTCATATAAACATACAAAATAATATTTCAAGATAATAAATGTATATTTAGGTTACTATCACACAATTTCACAAAGTGTGGATGCCTAATGTAAAACAGAAACAGAGCCAATTGTGTTTGGTCATGATCAAAAAACTCAATTTGCAATAAATAGAAATCATGTTTTTCTAAATGAATATGTGAAAATGTCTAATATATTCAAGAAAAAATAGATCATAAAAAATGACAAATAATCAGGATGTCAGAAACACACAGACACACACAAGTAAACGCATGCATGCACACCCACATTAACACGCCCGGTTTCACCCAGTTTTTCCTCCTTCCACTGCGGCCTAATTGATTCTCATTTTAATTATGTTGACCCAGACTCCGTCTCTCTTCTTCACTGACAACAAAACCAGCGCAGGCCAGCAGTCTGCCTCTCACACTGTGAGGATGACACCTCCGTCTTCTCACAGAGGAACAAGTCGAGGATTCACTTTGATGTCTCTCCCCCGCAAAGGAAAGGTCAAAATAATAAATGTAGGCCCAATTGATGGGTTGGCAGGGGGGCACGGGGGGTTCAGTGCTGATTTTTGGACGAGTGCTCCCCTAAAGGCATAATGAATTCATACAGTCAAGCACGGCCAAAGAGGAAAACAGCATGAGTCCTCTTTCCATGAAAAGGTTGATCTAAATCTGTAGACGAGCTTGGCTCCTTCTTCCCACTCCTTTTCCAACACATCCCTCTCTCCTTTCTCTCTCAAACACAGCCTTGTCTCACACTCATACACACAAACATCTCTGTCTTTCCCTTCTCTCTCTGACACACACCTCTGCATACATCTCACCTCCTCCTCACCTTCGCTGGATGAGGTGAAGCTGCTCCACCCAACTCTCCCTCACATTGACGCACTTTTGATTCAGGAGTAAATAACCCACAGTTACACAAATGCTTCAACGTGTCTTTGAAGATTCCTCAGGTCATCCGGGTCACGTGACATCTTTTACTAGGTCAAAGGCAACACTGAGCTACACCACTTCCACTGACCTTTGACCTGCTGTCTATCATTACCAACCCAAGTCCCAGAACATTAACTTATATTCTAGTAAAATGTGTTTAAAATAATACATAGAACAATATCTAGAATATTTCCTTTGAACCTGAAGGTATCACCATTAAAAATCACTACAGCTACAGCTTGTGAGTGTGAATATTTCAGTCAACTGAAGCCAGTGGTTGAAGAGTCTTTTATTGTGTAAAATTAGCACTACCTCAGAGTAAAAATACTCAATTACAATTGATAATTCTACTTTGGAAAAAGAACAGAGGTATTAGCAGCAAAATGTACTTGTATGTAAAGTTAAGGTCCCTTTTAGAGTTATATTATATTATTGGATTAATACTACAAACACATCCATACATAAGCAGAATTTTCATATTAATGTCAACTACTTATTACTTATACTGCTGGGACGTTTTATCTATTTAGCATTTATAAGCAGCAGGACATGTAATAAATGGTCAATAGAAATCTAAAATGTAGTTGTAATAAGAAATCAGTTTTTATTCATGTATTTATCAACAAATCCCTATAAAATAAAAATTAAAAAATAGTGGCGTAGAAGTAGAAAGCAAATGGAAATATTCAAGCAGAAGAACCTCAAAGCTGCATTTAAGTCCAGGACTTGCGTAAATGTCATTTAAGTTACTCTCCAACACTTTCCAGAGGTCAGCAGAAGCACACGTGATGCTGCACTGTAGTGTGGCAATTTAAGGGAAATGTTGAAAAAGGGTTAACTCAGTCTGGACTTTACAAACACTAACTTAATTGAGAACAAGGTTTAATATCCCAAACTAATTCTACATACGGAATACGTCGTTGCATGAGTCTGGGTTTTAAAAAATTCATTTGCATATTAAGATGTGGCCAACTATCTTATTGTAGCCTGCCATTTAATTCCGCCTTTGTCTTGCATTTTGTTGATCCGCGGAAACACACTTCAGTATAAAAGCAAATAAAGCTTAAATACTTTGCAGCTATTGAATAAATCTCTGGTTTGTAATTCAGACTCTTTTGAGTGTTTTCCATTCAAAGGGAAACCACGCTGTGTCGTACCACACTGATGACAAACACTCAGATATGATTATTTTCCACCAGACAAAACGCAATTTCCTGATCAGCCACAATCCCCGTGAGCCGCGTTGAGATGCGCATTCACACTGAGCTGCCAGTTTCCTCCGGAGGACGGAGCCGCTCCAGGCTGAATTACATGCGCAGTCCTGCCGTGAATCACACATCACCACGGCAACCGGCGCTCACACCGAGTCCCCGTCAGCATCAGCGAGGTCCGATCCCATCCACAGGCGACCGGAGAGCACAGAAACCACAGTAAGTTTATATTCTCTTCTCTTCAGTAATGTTTCTGTGACTGCAGTGGTGTCTCTGTGTATTGTAGAGACGTGTTTACGGGTAAAAAAAAAAAAAGAGCCCAAACATCTGCGGAATATTTCGCTATATATGAGAGATGTTTCTTCACATGATGCGTTTAAGGGCTTTAGTACAGGTAGTTCATGGTTTTTCATCTGCTTTATGGAATGAATGGACGAGCATCCCACCTTTATCTGGATGATGAGGCTATGTCTCTGTGACAGGCTGAATTGCGTTGTAATTTGCGCTGTACCTCCACATTATATAAGAAGCTACAATTATATAAGTATGTTTTGATTTATGGCTTTGGGCTGTTTTAATTAAGTCCTCAAAAGAAGCCCCCTAATGTAGAAAATGTACAGTGTGAGATTGAAGATCATCCAAGTAGCCTATATGCAAAGACTGGCCGATATAACACTTCATTTAGAGCCATAATTACATAGAAAATAGTTTTTTATCAGCAGTTTATATCTATTTCATGTGTGGCTGCTGTATATCTCGGCTCTCTGATTCCTCTGGTTACACAGCCTGTGTATCTTGTTGCAGCAGTCTTCAATGCAGCAAGTTCGGATATGCATGGCCAGTGAACCCTGAAGAACTTGAGAAGCACAGCCTGCAAACAGCCCGCTCTTACCTATTCCTAACACCATGTGTATTCACCTTCAGAAAGCTGTGTCTTCACTGCCCCGTTTGTTGATGAGTGTATGTGAAGGTACCCTGATGAATTAAACTATAATGTCGTGCCATCATTCAGATATCAGCAGCCTTTTTACAATGGATAAAATTTAATTAAAAAGTGGTGGCTGTGCGTGTAAAAAAGAAGTCATCTGTAGCTCTTTCAGTTGCTGGACTTGTTCCCTGTCAGATTGTGGGAGCACTGGGTGTTTGACAGCAACTCCAGCAACTCTCGCCTCATTTGTTAATCACAGATTCAGCATGATTCATTGTACCCACATTTCACTCCAACTGTGGGGAGGAAAAATGGTGGTCGAGCACAGATGACCACTTAACTGCCCACTCACCACACAAACCAAGGACAATTTAATCTTGAGTAATATACCAAATTCAATATCCATTTATTCAAACTGAAATCAAAATTTGAAAGAAATACATGAACAGATTCTGCAAAGGAAGATGCATCTTTGTCTTTTCCACAGTATACAATAGAGGTGATTATTTTGCACCTGTATTCTTGATTGATTGGTTTGTAGGTCTGGTGAAAAGTCCAACATATCAAATGTTCAGAATTAACACTGGTTTTTACATTCTGTTAGTGTTTAATGAAAGAATGCCGTATAGTTTCTAAACCAACAGAAAAGCCTGAAATTAAAACATAAAATCATCAGTGTTATCATACAGGATTTCCACTTCATGACAAGCTATAAACTGTATATACTTCTTTCTTTAGCAAATCACTCAGTTGATATGTCCCGTGGCCTTTGTTAATGATCCTGCATCTCCTTTATCAAAAACACATTTCCTGTGCACCGGGGATTTCTCCTGCAGCATAAAAACTGTAGCTCTTTGCCTCCTGGTGTGTGTATCATCACTGTGAGTCATTGGCGTCAGTGGGCCCGTGGGGTCCTTGGCTGGGGGAAGGTGTTGTGTTGCACTGTGTGAATGAGATAAGTGGCTCCTCACCTCTTCCCTCCACTTTTAGATGATCATTTGATCAAGGAGAGAAAATGGAGTATTATCGGAGCAGGGAGGCGTTCAGAGTCGTGCTGGTGCTGGATTTGGATTTACATGTTGATGACAAACATTAATAAGACGCTGGTGGAGGAGATGGGGCTGAGTTATACAAGATGAATCACACACAGTAGTTATGAAACATGTTTATTCTAGACTGATGGGTTTGATAAACAGGAAGACAACAGGCTTCTCTGTGAGTAGGGCCGCAAACACAGAAGTCTGTAGTTATTTAAATACGCCTCCACTTTAAACCACATAATTAGAATTCTGCTTACCATAACTTGATTGAATTAGTAACTAGGCAATTGTTAAAGGAATAGCTCAAAATATGCTTGTGTTTGTTTGCTGTCCTGCCAGGAGTTAGATGACACTCTTTTGTCTCTATGGTCAATAGGCTATGAGGGATGAAACCAGCAGCCACTTAGCTTAGCTTGGCATAAAGACTGAAAAAAGGGGAAAACAGCTCGCCTTGCTTTGCTCGCACATAAAAAAATTCCCCTCTCAGGACCTCTGAAGATCACAAATCAGTACACTCCATCTCGGTTGTTTAATCCATGCTAAAACTAAAGTGTAAAAACAATACAATGTGGTTATACGGGATGGATACAGTAGCCTATGTGTCTGGCTTTTTCTTGTTGCCAGGCAACCAGTGCGAGACTTCTCCCCAATGATTTTTATACTTCAGTTTTAGTAACAGATACAAATTAGTTACAAATATACTCAGAGTGTTTTTCTATTATGTAGAATGTATTGTTTGATTTAACAAGCTAACAAGACTAACAGCTTTACAGCCATGATAGCAGCTCAGTGATGCTGTGCATAGGCTTGCCTTGAGCTAAATACTAACATCAGCATGCTAACATGCTCAGAATGACAATGCTAAGATGCTGATATTTAGCAGGTGTAATGTTTATCATGTTCCCATCTCACTAGTATTTGCTAATTAGCACAAAACACAAAGTACAACTGAGGCTGATGGAGATGCCTCTACTTTTGCAGATATTTGGTCACAAACTAGTCTAGTGTACTAGATACATCTGAATTTTGACTTGTTCATGGTACCAGATAAAAAGTCAGTCCATGAAAGATATTTGTTGGACCAAAGTGGTGGACTAACCAACATTGCTATTTCTAGAGCCATTCTCCTAGCATGGCTGAAAACTGAATTTTGTTTTCAGAAATACTTTTTCTTATATTCTTCTTTTGGTGTGGTCTATATTACTCCTACCGTGTCCTGTTTTTACACATCACACTGTCATTTTCTCTGCCGTCCTCCATATCCTGGCAGGACCCTCAGTTCAAGCAGTGCTGTCACATTTGGTCACAGCACACACAGTCTGAGTCAGTCTGACTTGAGCTGTCCATCCCTGCTTTCCAGATCCATCCAGGCATTTTCAGGCAGCTGAGCAGCCATGGTGAAACTGGGCAGTAATCTGTCTGAGAAAATGGAGAAGCAGCCGTCTGCGGACGACGGCTTTGATAACATCCCCCTCATCACACCCCTGGAGGTCAACCAGCTCCAGCAGCCGTTCGCAGACAAGGTAAGTACAGCCTGTTAAGTGTGTGTTAATGTGCCTGCCCACTTACGTTTGTTTTTCTCTGAAACACTGTGTTTCTAAGTTGCACACCAACCACAACAAAACCATGCATTACAGCATTACAGAAATAGCCAACAAATTGCGCCTCGCTGCAGAACATGTCTGGACACACACCATTAAAATTAATGTAGGCGTACTTACCTTTCCAGCATAAGCCCCAACACTGAGACTGCTGTATTTACCTTCCCTTACTTGCTGTCCCGGGTTAAAACCATGGCATCAGCCCATGCGATGTAAGCACTTCATCGAATGTATAATGCACAAAGAAAGCTCTCACAATCATATTTTGGCTGGATGATGTACTCAGCAACACAGGATGTTCCACAGGCTGATTAGAAGGTGTTAACACATTAACATAAAAAACACTTTGTAGCTCCCAAATATGTGTTTAAGGCACCAATTTGAACTGGTTGCTTTTGCAAATGATGCACATGTATTTTTGGACATCCACAACAGTGTTTTCAGTGGATAAACAAATTGCTAATTAGGGAATCTGAGATTTTTTTTCCAGGAGAGTCACAGTGAGAGATCATTGTTTCTTCTTCAGATCATTGTGAAGACATCGACACAGTACCAGCTGCAGCAGAAGAAGAACAAGCTGTACATTCCGAACATAAAGAAACTGAATATCAACTTCTACAGTGATGTTTCAGAGAAAGCCAAGGTACAAGAACAACTTGACGACAGGAAATCTGCACAAATTCTTATTTTAGGATAAGTCTGGCATTATTTTAAGTTTTTTCCTTGTTAATACCACAAAAAGACTGAAACCATCAATGAATTGATCCTATTAACAAGTATTGTCTGGGTATCTCCTCTGTGCCGCACAGCTCCATAGTTGTTCAAAAACTATGGAAAACACATCAGTGTGGCTCACAGCATTGCACTGGGTGACATGGAGTCAGTCCCACATATGCCATACCAGAGCCTTAAATACTCACTGAAGCACCAAAGAGGTATAAGAGGTAATTTGCAGCTGAAAATTGCCCCCAACAGAATACTGTGTTCTCTGTATATAGAAGTATCCAACTGTTTTTATGAATGACATTTTATATTCATTGCCTGTTTTTGAATATTTACATCTTCCGTAGGGAAGCCCTGGGGTTGGGGTTATGGAAATCAGAAAGTATAGGTTTTGGTCTTTTCGTGGAATTTGACAGTAACCAAAATTATATTGCCAGCGTTTAAGTACTGATGATGTTTGTTGCTGAAGTGTAGTATATATACATATAGATATATATGTGTATATTATATATGTGTGTGTTCATGTGCATGTTGTCCAGATCACAGGTCTGATCCTCATCACTTTGGCCTTCTTGACCAGCCTGCTCCTCCTGCTTATGTACAAAGCCATGTGGTACGACCAACTAACCTGCCCAGAGGGTTTTATCCTTAGGGTAAGCACACACACGCATGCACACACACTTGTACACCCACACACACACACACAAAAAAAAGATAAGCTCACATACACAGGTCATTCATGTCATTTTGCAGTTTTGGTGAGTTTTTGGATGTCATGTTCACTATACCTGCTAAAACTGAGTGTAGAGCGGGTCTAGACGTGCTCTATTTGGAAAGTGCCTTGAGATAACGTATGTTGTGAACTGACGCTATACAAATAAAAATTGACTTGACACATGCACACAGATGCATAAACTTGTGGATTCACATGATCAAAGAAAAGATAAATATATTTCTGTCACATTGTCTTCCTGTAGTAAATCAGAGACTAACAAAAGCAGCTCACATCAGTGTCGTCCTTGGACATCAGCTTCTTATTACATTATTCAGGCTGAAGTAGGCTGTGCAACACCCACTCAAAGGGCACTCACACAGTCTACAATGCAACTCATCTGATGCCCTGTTTCTCAGCACACCCTCACATCAGTCACTTCTGGAGGATTCTCAGAAAACTGGAGATAGAAAAACCCAAACTCATTATCTCCAAATGACACCTTGGAGGCATCATGTACTGAGCCAGCGCTGCCACGCATGTTAGTTAAAGAGCCTGTCTCGCAAAGGAAAATGAGAGATCGGGAGAGACAGAGAAGAGGAGGAAGAAGGAGGGAGAGGGAGCGACACAGCTCGCTTTCTGGTCAGGCAGAGATTGGGACGCCTGCCTGTGAATCGGAGGGGTCTTTAATTAGGGCTGAGCGTGACTAAACTGTGATTAAAGGCTTAACAGTGAGGGGGGAAGCAAGGAAGGGGAAGGGGGGGGGGACCTTCCGGCAAGGCTTTTGAAGTTTTTGCCGGTTACAGTTGCTTTCAGCATTTTTTTTCTGTTAATGTGTTGTTGGAGACATAAAAAGAGGAGTGAGGATGGAGGGTGGCGTAGTCACTGCTGTGCTTTTGAGAAGTTCGGCTCCTCGCTGTGAGAGAGGGTCAGGTAGTGGATCCTCCGAGGGGAAACGCCTGTGAGGTCAGCATAACTCAGTGGGCTCTTTCCAAAATACAACATAAACAGGCTGGACATTGAGTTTGCTTTATTTAATTTACCCAAGTTGTCTCATGCTGCACAGCTTTCTCATGCTGCACAGCTTTCCACACTTCAAAATATCTTGGGATATCTTGCAAAGGATGCTTTCTCCTTAAGTGAAAACAGGGCTGAGCCTGGCAACTGTGGTGTATTGGTAGGCTACTGTGAGTCTTTAACTTCATCTGTGCACTGGGATGAAGAAAAACTCCTTTGTCAGAAGGCATTTTCACTCCTTTGATCTGACTTGTAGAAACATTTGTTGTGCAGATTATTAAAGAACAACTCATTTTGTCCATCACACAAACATTTGTTCTCACTTGTTTCCCACTGGTGGAGAGTTGCAACAGATAAAAATCTGTTTTTTTCCAGTGCATCTTTGACTTTGTAGTCATCAAGACTTTATGATACAGGTTTCTGTTGATGCAGTGGTTTGAACAGCATTTGTGCAACATTTTATACTGGTGAAAGTTGTTTAGACAAAAAACACCCATTGCCAGTTTTCCATCACAGGAACTTTAAAGCCTGTGATGTGAAACTTTAAAGAACCTGAACATTTAAGAACTTTCTTACTAACAAATCAGGACTTTTCGGAGACACAAGCCAGTTGGTCGCCCATAACAGCATCCACTGCCTCACATTTACTGTTGTTTCATATTTTGTCCCTCTCTGCATTTCAGTCCGTGATGTTTGATAATCATCTTTCCTTTTCTTAATACTGTGTTTCCTTGCATTGTTATGCATTTTTCAGACCTTTTAATATGAGCTTGAAACTTCCTTCTTGCCCTTGGAGATTGTTTGACAAAATAATCTTAAATTAAACTTTACTTTGTAGTTTTGGAGTCAAAAATGAGCTAAGTCCATGACGACTGACCAAACTCCATCCGCTGATGAAGACAATGAGATACAGTTGAAAGCTCAATAGCTCTATAGAGCAGCCAAACTCATAACTATTTGACATGTCCGCAAATAAAATGTGAACAAGGAGAACCATCCTGGAATCATTTTTGATTAATTTGCCATTTTGACCCTGAGACTTTTTTAAAGTTTTGACCTTGACATAAACTAAAACACAATATACTGTGGCTTTTCTGCAGACAGAGGCCTCTATGGAAACTGTTAATTTTTACATGCATCTTCAAACGACGATGATTTCACCTCTCTGTTCGCTAGAGCTTCATTTAACTTAGACAAGCTGTCAGATTTTGTCAAACAGAGCCCGTGTTGACCCTCTGCTGGAGACTTTCTTCTGTGCTGTTAATGTCGGCGCAGTCACCTCAGTAGAAACCAATGACAATATTCTTTTCTTCCTGTTGACACAGCAGAAGCACTGCACCCCGGCAGCTCTGGAGATGTACTACACAGAGCAGCAGCAGCAACAGCAGGAGCCAGGGGTCCATGGCGGCACCGACACCGGGCTGTACGCTGCTCTCAGCCACCTCAACCAGGTCAAGAGGACTGGACCTGAGCTGCCATCGCCATGGCTACCAGTCATCAGCGCTCTGAAGGAGGCTGAGGTGGCAAAACAAGGCAGCGAGCCGCCAAAAGGAGTGCTGGAGGGAGAGGAGTGAAGGGTCTGATGGGAATGCATATATCAGAGGAGGAAATGGTGATGGGCAGTAACGTAGGTTACTTTTTGTTTGTGTGAGAGTGTGTGTGTGGGTGTGTGTTCAGGATTTTTTTTTCCTCTCCCAGACCAGTCCATTGACTCTTTTGCCTATAGTGGTGCTCCTAAACCTTAAAAGTATTTGAATATCTGCCAAATGGTTGAATCAACAACGTAAACCACAAGTTCACTCAACTTCAATCCACTATATTCTGTTAATATTTAATATAAGCTAATACCCAACTGTGGTGGTGTGTGTGTGCGGATGTGTGCGGATGTGTGTGTGTGTGTGTGTGTGTGTGTGTGTGTGTGTGTGTGTGTGTGTGTGTGTGGCGAGTTGTTGTGGTTAGAGGCAGGAATGTTATTAAAGTGTTGGAGAATGTGCCTGACTTTTACAGTGTTACTGAGTCATGAGAAAATGCCGCCAACTGCATTCTGTGTGTGCGTGTGTGTGTGTGTGTGTAGTATACAATCGTGTAAATACACTGTAAATGCAAATTTACATTCATGTGCAGTGTGTGTGTGTGTGTTTGTGTGCATATACTGTAGGATTTGTGTACTTGTCTGAGAAAGTTGGGGGTGAGAGAAGCGAAGCGAGGTGAGACCTCAGAGCAAGAAGTGAAGATAACAAGTTTTTAATGAGATTACTGCAAGTTTCTCCTCATCACTCCATCTTGTTATCTCACCGTCTATTCATTTAGTCTTAGAGGGGAATGTATGAAATCAGCAGTGAATGTGCTCACTCTTCATCCATTAAGACAAGGAACTGTAATTGTCCATTTTAATATTTGATGGAATGAGTTGATTCCTGATCTTATTATCTCAAAACTGAAAATGACATTTCTGTAAAATTAAAGTCTGCTGAAAGTGTGTTTTTAAAGTCAACTCTTACACAGCAAGTGACTTGAGTTACACAACAACAAGCATTCTGTCTGTTTAAAACAGAGTCACACAGTGGCTTTGGAAAGTATCAAATGATCAGAAGTCTGTAAAACGTGTTTTTGTCTTGGGTTATTGTGTGTGGAGTTAATCACCAAAAAGTCAATTTAATCCATTTTAAATTAAATATAAAACACAATGAAGTGTGGAACAAGTAAAGCTGCCTGAATACTTTCCCAAGCCACTGAACAAGTCTTCATTTGAAGAATCTTGTCACGTTATATTCTCTGCGTGTGACTTGCTGTAATTATGGATGAGACTTGAGAAGTTAATGCATTATTACAAAACCTCTACATTTCCATAATGCTATATGTTCATGTGCGTAAGGTGACTGTAAAAACTAGCCAATTATCCTCCATCCAAATTTTGTCATTAATTTTGTTTTTGATTTACGTTGCTGTCAGTATTCTGTAAGAGCCTTGTAAATCAACATGTACACTGTAATAATCACAGGGTTAACTTGTCATGATCTTTATATGAATGTAGCTGCGTTAATCATGCAAGAGATGTAATTAGTGCTTAGAATGTACTACCTAAACAAGTCTATAGTCTTTACATTTTTCTATTTATTTCATTAACAGACTATTTATGTGTTTATTATTTGGTGTCTTTTGAATGGAAAACCCGTGGTTGCAAATTTTGAAGGTACTGTTACATACATTTATTTTAAAGAGAGGAAAAACAATCATGTGAAGTTCATCTCTCAAAAACAAGCTATTGTTGATTTTTAACAACCAGAAATGAGAAAATTACCTGACAAGTCTTGTAATTTGTCTGACTGATCGTTTCTCTTTGTCTTGCCATTATGGCGGAAATCTTATTTTGAAACAACAGTCTGCATGTGAGTAGGAGGAATGTGAGATCACAGCACAGCTTGTCCCCCGGGTTCAAGTGCCAAACATTTACATCAGACCCATCTGCTCTGATGTCACTGACTGCACAGGAATAAATGACTTAAGTGTTGAGCTCTCTCTCTCACCGTGAGCCTTGTTGATTTGGATTCATTGCCTCTAATGAGCAGAATTAATGATTCATCGAAACTGATGAAATATTGGTGGTTGGATTTAACAAAAAACATTCATGAGCTTTCCTTTTTTGTTTTAACCAAAACGCTGCAGGAACTTTACAACTTAGAGTATTATCAGTAGTTGAATGTAACTAAGTACATGAGTTCGTCACGTGTTTTGTAGGTGAAATCATTAAAGTATAGGTATCAGATAAATGCAGGGCCTGGAAATACTCATGTAGCTATTATACATATGTACACTTTGGGGTATTTGAACTCTTTATTTTATGCTACTCTCTATGTACACTTCAGAGGCAAACTTTTAATGTACTTTTTACTCCACCACATTTATCTGAAGTTGGTGGATGTACCTTAAGTAAAAGTAGCAAAACCACAAGTTGAAAATACTTCATTAAAAGTAAAAGTCCTGTGTTCAAAATTCAAAAAGCACTAACTATGTAAGTGTGCCCATTTGCATTTTAGTGTTGCAGTAAAGTACTGTTACTATAAAGCAATTTAAACAGAAATATATTTATTTAACAGGGTTACTTTACATATTAGATACAGAGCTTATAATATAAATATGACTTGTTGTAGATTCAATTACCTAACAACATAAAGAATGGTTTTATTCTCTCCACCTCAACCAGCTGAAAAAGTAAAATGCTGCTTATACATTAATGCGTCAATAGTGACGGTCAAACACAACAACATAACAGACACAGTTAACAATAAGGTACTATATTGATGAGTAATTTGAAAACACACCAGGATATACTATCTTAGTGCAAATTAAACACTGGTATCTGCTAATCTGGCTGGTGGAGTGACCTACTAAAAACCCTCCTCATGAGTCATTCCTCATCAACTCTGAATCAGCTGCTGAGCGGCACAAACTAATAATGACTAATTAATCACTAATTACCTCAATTAGTTACTTTCTTCTGCCCCTACAAGTAAAGTGATACATCATCCTGAGGAGTTACAAGTAAACCTTCATTACTTTTTGATTGTCTTATACCCTTTTTCTGCTGCCTCAGGTAAAATAAAGAATCATCCTATTAAACTAATACATAGCATTTTTTACTTATAATCCATAATTAGTTCCTTAATGACAAACCAGAGACAGGATGATTCATAATATGATAGTTCCCGATTTGTTCCTCACACGTTCTTTTCTTTACCGTATGGTTGAGTATTATATAACAAGGACAGAGGCTGTTCTGCTTAATGATCAGTTTTATTTTTTGATACTTGAAGCACAATTTCCTGTAAGTAAAGGATGTGAGTACTTATTCCACCTCTACTGCAGCTACAGGAGAGAGCGACGTCATGTTTTTGTAGATCGTTTTCTTTTTCGAAAAGAATATCTTATCCTAAATAACCAGCAGAAGAAAAATGTACAGTTCCTCTTACACTCTGTTGCTCAGAGATGATCAGTATGCATAGAATTCAGAATATGATTCCTTCCATCTCCTCAAACTTTAGTTTAGCAATTCAAAGCCAAGCCACATCCTCTTTCTCTCTCTCTCTCTCTGCTGGGTTCACTGCTGAGAGCCTGTCTGCATCTCATTTACACTCACATATTTTCACACCATTGCTCTAAACCCAGGGATGTGTGTGTGATGTTTTTGCGCGAGTGTGTGTTACCTTGTTAGAAGTGTGTGTATGACTATGAAATCATTAACCTACAGTCATGTGTGTGTTTGCTAAAGTTTGTGCATGTGTCTTTGTGTTTCAACACGTGCATCTTTGAGCTTCTGTGTCTGTTAGAGTGTGTGTTTATGCCTTGATGTGTGTGTGTATATGTGTGTGAGCCCATGCTTGGCTTGTTAATTAAATCTACATTACGCCCTGTTTAGCCTTTAGGGTTTTTTCTTCTCTCCACTGTTACTGAGTGACATACTTAAGATGCTGTTGGCCCAGGGCATGGAACTAAATAAAGTGCTAAAAAATCTTTATTAGGGCATTTACAGATCCCATGCTTGGTCAAGACATAGCATGTTGTGCCAAAAGGCTTGGATTCAGGGCCGGGGGAAAATCACGTAAAATCACCCGAGTAGTCACGTAAAGGCCGCCAAGCCCCATTTTCCTGCTTTATAGCATCAACAGATCTGAACAGTAAAATAGCAGGTTGGCTTTTTAATTTGTCCTGACCATTCGGAGTCCCCCCCTTCCCCAGCGCTCCCCCTGAAGACTGGGAAGGAGGGCCGAGTCAAGAGGCATTTAGTTGTTAACATCCCACCGCAATCAGATTCCTCTAAACCCTGATGTCACTCAAATGTTGGGGAGAAGGCGGGAGGATTCGTGGTGATGTAAGTACTGTTTTCCTCTTTTTCTTTTCCCTTTGTATCTGAAGCTGATCAGCCAGGAGGTGTTAAGATGCAGCTCCTTCTGAGGCGGTGTCGGTGTTTCCAAAAAAAAAAGGAAATTACAAAAGATGTGGATCAAAGGTTCAGGAAGGAGTAGAAAACAGGCAGAAAGGTGTGAGAGAGAGCAGGGCCTGTATTTATCCAACTGCCAAAACTAAAGTTTTTGACTTAGGTAAAGTAAAATAGTAAAAATTTAATGTTTCTTCATATTTGTTCACAAAATCAAAGAAATAGTTTCACATTTTTGGAAATACACTTATAGAGTTAGATGAGAGGATTGACACCACTCTTATGTCTGTACGATAAACATGAAGCTACAGCCAGCAGCCAATTAGCTTAGCATAAAGATGGGAATGTGGAAAAAGCTAGCTGGGGTATTTCATGGGGGTTGGGGGCTAATGCCAGGCAACCAGTGGAGATTTTAGCATAACTTCTGATAAATGACAGTTATTTGTGTTTACACTTTGTTTTCTGACAGTTTAAACAAACTAGATACAATGAGTTAATCAGTGAGCTTTAGAGATGGTGATATCTTGGTTTTGATGCCACTGGACAGAGCCATGCCTGCTAGTTGTTTCCCCTTGTTTCCACTCTTTGTGCTAAGCTAGGCTAAGTGGCTGCTTTCTTTGCCCTTAAATTTAACAGACAGATGTGAGAGTGACATCAATCATGCAAAATATTTGTTGGTCATTTGGAGCAATAAGTTTGCAGAAGCAACGTGTGGTGTATAACAGTGAGTATAGTTTTTGTCTATTATTTGCTTTTGATTTGAATATTCAAAGGGATGTTTAAACATTTTTTTTTTTTTTTATCACGTGTGAAAGATGCACAAGAATAAAGCTTATATTAATTTTGTTTTGGAATCACTTCCCATACATATTCATTATCTGCAAGATGGTTATCATATGAATTTTCTAATGTTCCTCCAGCACCAGAAATTCTTTCGCGTTCCAAACTGGTT